GCATAGCGATATTTATATCACGATTACCATAAAGGGTTTGAGTAACTCGTTTCAATTTGGCTGACGGTTTAAGGGATAGGTATGTAGGTATATGTACTTATAATCCAGTACATAATAGATTAGCTGATCAATGAGAGATTCCGGAATCGTATAATGTGCTGTGTTGCATGCATTAGTCATGTATCCTGTGTTGATATTTAAGTATAAGTAGACTATAGCTAATGGTGCAATAAGCGGCGCGGCGCAAGTCTACGGTATGCAACGGGTATCCCGAAAGCTACCGGGTTATCAGTCGATTTTGAATCGGCACGGATCTGATCAGCTGAGAAGCCTAGGATCTTGGCTTTTGTTGCTTGAATTAACACGAGCCCGATAACGGAGATCCATAACCATGTACTAACCTAGGAATTGTAAGAGGTTTCGTATGCATTCACTATACAAGCGCGTGCACGTAGCCTTACATGTATTTATGATGTAGGATTAAGGAGGAGCTTTAAACAACCTGGCCTGGTAATTTCGCACCTGCATGCATCATGTATCTAAAGCTTCGTACCGTACTGGCCGGTCTTGAATAAGTTTCACTATCACCAAAGATATATGCCGAAGCTGAATTTAGTAATTATAATGTCCCCAATGCTATCCCGGGATCTTGGTCCTTGGCTGGCTGCAGGGTCTGTTCATATTCTAGTATATTCTGGCAATGGTGAGACACGTGTGGCCGATCAATATATAAAGCGGTCCTAGGGCAGTTCTAAGGTTACGTATTACCTTATTACCTTCGCAATGAAACAGAGTAAAAGTTCGCTGTACCGTACATGTACTCGGGTACAAGGGTTAGAACCAGAACATGCCATGAGGTTATTTGTATGGCAGAGCGGCGCCACTCCATGCAAATAATCCCAGTCTCTTCACTTGCATGTTCTGGTTCTTATTGCTACACCCGAGTATGCTCTTTTTTTTTTTAAGTTCGCTGTATGCTCAAGTATACGTATACATACATTTCAGTTGTTTGTCGCGATTGCTTCAGCCCTATATTATTACGTTATATATTATATAGAGATACTCAAAGGGTGGGGACAAAGGCCATACATCTGTGGATTGTTGAGTTCTTAAACCAAGTCAATGTGATTCAGAGAGAGGGCCCACATAGTCAGAACATACAATAATATACAAGCTATACTTTATGAGATAGTAATCGACTGTCTTAGCCAACTTCGTCGGGTGTCTTCGAGCTCCATAATATAGAGTTTTAGCTACACGAGTTAAACAGAAAGTCGAGCACTTGGACAGAAAGTCCTGTACCTCTTATTGGCTAAATTACAAATACTTGCAGGTATTTTCCTAAAACAGCTAGAATTTCTGTCCAACCTGTCCGACTTTCTGTTCAACTGGCGTAGCTAAAACTCTCTAACCCAGCGTATACACTCCAAGACTACGGTTCTCTCCGATATTCAATAGTGGCCAATGCGTTATATCCTGGCACTGGGTTATATTAAATAAAGGAGGTAGTCCGTTTTAAGCGTCTGATCAACTTCTGGTATATATTGCGCCGTACTACATTCTGCTCTTCAAACCTGCATAATGCATGTATCGACTACCAATGCGTAACGAAGACTTTTACTCTCAATAGAAATATGGATCCAGTTAAGCAACGTCTACATGTAGGTAGGTACATGTATATATGGCACTCGTGATTACATATACACTTACATTTATTACACATGACATCTTTCATTTCAATTGAATCACAGATTAGCACTCGATATTATTTTGACCTACTAAAGTTTGGGTATCCCCGACAGTCGAGACAGCCAATACCAGGAGATATAAACAACGAGAGTAATTGCATTTATTTATATCTAACATATCATATTTCTCGAATATGCCATAGTACGCTTAACTAAGGTATAACATATTTGAGTGATAGTTCATGACTAAGACCAGATACATTCATATTCAGTCCAGTTAGTGGTGATGATATCTATGTAGATGAAAGTTATAATTTGTGAATTTCGGGTGCCCTAATCTCAACTAATCTGAATCCTTTGTGAGACAGCGAACGTACTTAAGTGATCACGTGAGGGGTTCCTGCTGCAGAAACCGTGTGCGCCACACGTTGAAGAAATGTGGTTGAATGGTTTTCAGGAATGAGCTGCATGGAACACTCTACCAGAATTACATTGATCCGGGAGAATACACATATACAATGTACCCAGGGGTACCAAAAGTGATGCAACGGCTTGGAAATATAGGGTGAGGTCTTAGTGAATTCTTCATACTCTCTTTACTTTATATACTATATATCGCTGCTTCGTTAAAGTCAAAGTTAGGTTGCATGTGGTTGAAATCGTGAGTAGTAAATTGAATCGTTGCATCACCTTCCGGCACCCCTAGGTACATGTAGATAGCGGTAACTAGGGTCAGTTTTAGATTGCCGTGATAGGATAGAAAAACATCTATACACGTAGTATGATTTATATACATATACAGAGGAAGAGATAGAGAATAGAAGCAGGAACAAATCCCTTAATTTATAAGAAACTCATCAACTATCACTCGTAGTCTCTATCGTTATTAGTAAGCTACATGTAGCCAGCTACAGCTAGCTACAGAAAAGAAAGAAAATAACTTGTTTTAATAAAAAGATTCCCTCATTACATGTTCGTATATCGCTTATTGACCATATGACGCATTATGTTATATTTGGGGTTAATATGGATGGTCAAATCTGTCCACTCCGTAGTCGGCGTTTCCTCTAATCTTATCACTCCGCCAACCTTTGATTTATCTTTGGTCCAGCACGCCGGCTTCTCAATAATCTCCATTATCGACTCCGCAAGCATAGTGCAAGCGAACAGGTTCGGTTTAGTGAACTCACTAGATGCGCATCGTGAAATACAAGCACTTCCAAAGCAATGCAGCGTAACACAGAGCTCTTTGGGGTTGTTTTCTATACCGAAGATTCCGCTGCAACGGTCGAAAGAGAAATTTAAATCAAGAAACTGTTTGACGACTTTACGCGCATCATCGAGCAAAGGGCTGCCGTCGCTCGGTTCGCACTTAGGGTCCGTACGTAATATGCGTCTATGTGTAATTGGATCACTCTCCAGTACTAATACGGCGCCGGCGCCGAAGACGAGAGAGACTGTAAGAATTAGGTTTGTAAGGTTGAAAAACATTTGAAGTATATTTAGTAGATTGTTTTTGTTATTCTTTTGTACTGGTTCTGGTAATTGGGTGTTTTGGGGTTGGTAGTTTTTGGTTTTATGGAAGCTGGGAAAAGATGCGCGAGTAGGCCTATTTAAGGCCTGTATCAAGAAATCGAATGCCAGGCTCCATCGTTTCTTGAATACGAGACGCTGATTGAATCAAAGAATAGAGGCGTATGTAGATGTTGGCGTGGGTGGTTTCAGATTGGTCCGCCAGTGGCACGTATTAGCTCCATGAAACATCCACCTATAGCTAGACGTACGTAACATCTTCTTCTTTAACCTTATCAACTACACTTAGTATTGTATTGCTTGTGATCATTTTATAGTTTCAGTTTAAATCTGGCCCAGTACTAGGGCTCGCTATAATATTTTCAAGATTCGGTTTGTAGAGCTCAATTCATATCATGTGCTCCTATTGCGGTTCTGGGTGGTAGGGGTTCATAATTTAGGGCACTAAACAGAAACAAAGAAATAGATCGAACACTAGCTCATATCATGATATCAACTGTGAGAGTCAATATGCATTTATTTATAGAAATAATAACCAAAATTAATATAACTATATATAGCTACTTATTTTACAGCTACTGATGCTAACTCATAGGATGGTCTGCCATGCCGCGCCCCGGGATTATATATCTCGAGCTGGTTATATATATATAAGTAGATTAGATTGGGTTTTAAAAATGTTTCTGAAAACGAAAATCGAAGTAAAATATGACTACCCTCCCCCCATACCAAGCGCTAGCGGTAGGCAAAGACTAAAACGGAAAAGATTACACTTTTTAAATTAATACTTAATATAAAAGTATAGTATACATAGAATATTAAGTTTTATAGACTGCGTATAGTATATTCCTCAAGCTATCTCAGTAGAGGGCCGCGCTATTAATCTACTCGATCCATATCTTTGTGATGGACGTGAGAATATCTTTTCCCTGGGTTACGAATGTATGTGGTAATATCAAAAGCGCTAAGGTAGTGGTACAGGCTGGATGTCAATGATAACTACCCCGCGCCAAGCCTATTGTACACGACCGGTTTGGGTTCTACCGCTCGTGCTAGCTACGTATTTCACTGAACCTCAAATACCCCGCATCCTACCCTCGCTAGGTCTAGGTCGGTATGGGAGTTATCACTACATGTAGTGATATTAACAGTCTTCAACAGATCTAGACGGATAGCATGTCCACAAGGAATCGATATCCATGAGCTTGATAGATATAACAAGTCAAAGAAAATAAAGAGCAATTAAATTTCAAAGTGGACCAAATATTTATTTATTTTTCTGCGCACGTGGGGGACGGCTGAAGTCATGGTGAGTCACTCGCCCGAGATAAGCTGCAGCTCTGTGGAGTACTGTGATTGGCCAGTGTAAACAAGTCCAGTAAACAAACCCTGTAGCTCTTCAGATTAGCATGCAAGGGCACTTCTTAGATAGATGTACCTGTCCAATTGAACTGAATTAGTAAGCTTTAGCTTGTAAAATTCCAGTCGTGTCCGGAATCAGGTAGTAAGGAAATGATTAGGTGGTTGGCTACTGCGAGACGTATTATATTCCGGAGTTGATCACTTATACGGAAAACAAAAACTACGTACTCTCGACGAATTACCTGTCCATTTGGGGAGAATATACTTGCCACGTGTTCCGCCCCCTCATCAACTATATAAGGTAGGCCGGCCTGTCCCATTCTCCTTCTTCAAACAAACGTCATTATCAGCCGGACTGAAAACTTCCACTCTTTTTACTTTTCACGTAAACCCTTAGAATATTTCTTTTCAAATAAAATGACTTTCTTATCCAGTCTTCTATTCTTCAGTATTGTACTATTGGCGATCTTTTCAACGGTTTTCGGACTTGAAGAGGTTCTTGCATTCCAGGAAAATAGGCAAGAAACCAGGCCTTTCGGGGTGTACTCGGCGCTTAAGTACACGGTACTGGATGGCTTTTTCAGACAGAGCGATGATGGTACCGACGATCGTACCTACGACCCTGTAAGTATCCGCTGCCTTGATGTTTACATCAACTATTTTGCTAACAATCGATGCTATTGAAAGCTTACGGATTCTTTCGGACTTCAGTATTCTGGACCCCGACGCTGGGAGAGATTTGTTGAGCATATCTCTTTCTTGAATGAAAATGCCCCCGTGGATGTCAGCTACAAAGTTTTATACCTGGCAAGACATGGCCAAGGGCATCATAACGTTGCGGGCAAGTTTCTCTCATAGAATGGCGTTTATTACATGAAGGTTACTAAAAGATATTATAATATTAGAACACCATTTTGGAAATGAGGCTTGGGAAGTATGTATTCAAATAAATCGATATCTGGGTGGGACCTCGCTGATCTTCGTAGTGTTATTGGGCCATGAAAGGGAATAATGGAACCTACCACTGGGTAAGCACTCTTTTCCCTATTATTTCCGGAAAACTAACCTCCGCAGGGACCTGACGCCCGCCTGACTGAAAAAGGAATATCTGAGGTACATCGTACCCGAGATGCCTGGAAGTCCCAAATCCCCTTTGGTGTCCCCCTCCCTCAAATCCACTTCGTCTCTCCTCTCTCGCGTTCCCTCTCGACTCTTGTCGAGACATGGAAAACGATTGCACTCGACCCTCCTCGACCTCTTGTCAATGAACTTCTTCGGGAAACCCTTTCCCTACATTATGGGGACCACCGCTCACCAGCATCCGAGCTACGTGAGCGTTACCCAGAAGTATATTTCCCCATGGATGGCTCCTTCCCGGAGGAAGACCCACTGTGGAATTATCACCGTGAGTCTCTACAGGGCCGTAACGGCCGGATAAAATATGCCATGGACAACATGATCGCCGCTTCCAATGAAACCTACATCTCAATGACTTCTCATTCTGGGGTCATCAACTCGACTCTTGTAGCTCTCGGACATCGTCCATATAACCTTCAGACGGCGGGCATGATTCCTGTCGTCGTAAAAGTGGAGCGAGACCGAGGGGGTCTACAGAAGTGGTTTCAGCCGAATAACCCTTCGCTCAAAAATGTCGACGATAGCCCAAGGGTGGAGGAGAGAGTGATTTGCGATGGTTACCCACCTGTCAACGTATCGGGATTGTACGAGAGCGGAATGGGAGTTTGGCCGTGGTCATAGGTGCTGGCTCTTTCAGCAGAATATATACCAGATAGATCTCTAGGACGGAGAAAGGTTTGGCTTTGCTTGAAATATAAGAAGAGACCAAGAAAAATGTGTGATATATAATGTATAGGAATGCGGTGAGTTACCGTGGGGCAGCTGAAGATTGCGGAGGGGCTGGGTCCCGGGTATGCAGGTCGCCAAGGGATAAAATACATAAAGAAACCCGCTTGTTTGGAGGTGCTGAGGCGGAGGTCACGCCCTTGATAGTGCCCTGCAATATACCAGAGGCCTCAGGAATAGTTGGTTGGAAGACTGTAAATAAGAAGGGTGATAGAACAACCGTATTTAGCTTTATACGAATCCCATTTTTTTGTTTTGATACTTTTTGGCCCGCAAGATTTCGGAACAGCTGTGAAAAATATATGCTCAACAGTTACAAACATGAGTGAGAAAAGGATAAGAGAAAGAAAATCACACCATGCGTTCTCGAGATACTAAAAATAAAGCAAAGGGTATTTAGGCAACCAAAACGCCCCTAGAATACCATATGGATCCTCAACCCATGCACCCCCTACGCCATTGTACTCTCCAAACCCCGGTCCCAAGTATGGCCGCCGACTACATAACTGATGAGGTCCTTGGCCTCTTGCGGCTGCTTCCTGGTCTCTTCTCGGGGGCGGGCGGTCCCATCTCAGTTAGGGTTGTTCCTTCGCGTTCCTCACGCTCAATGGCCCTCCCACCCTTATGATCCTTGGCCTTTTCCTTCTGGTCAAGCACCATGGAGAGTATGTCGTAGGCGAATTGCGGGAACTCAAGAATCATTCCCATGAATTCCCTCTCAGCCTCGTGACGTAGGACATGGCCTTTCAAAAATTTATTAGTATTAAGTAGATAACAATAGGGATAGGTACTTACTTCTATGGGCCCAGAAAGTTGCGATAGGGTTTCTAATAGTCTTGTCCTCCTTTGGTGTATTCGCATACACGAACCTAGCATACTCAAGCTCGCCCTTAGCGGTAGAATTGATCCTGTGAATCTTGCTGTGCGCCAATGTCTTGAGCTCCTCCATGCCTAGCTTATCGGCGAGTGTATATACCCTCGCATGCTTCAACAGATGGCTCCCATCTTCATCAATTTCATCCGGGGAAACCACCTCCAGCACCAACTCGGATGCGTTCTTGTTGAAGACGAGACGGGGGGTGTACTCGTTCGTGTAGAGATACTGCAGGAAGCAACCAACAGCATCGAGGTTCTCATCTTTGAGGCTATCGACGGTGAGGGAGTTATCGAAGTATGGGCTGCGCTGAAGGAGCGCAAGATGAGCCTTGAGGACAGCATCTCCGACGGTGATGGTTACAATGGATGAAGAAAGATAGCTGTGTTCATCATCCATCATCATTGTATTAGCGGTTTGCTATACGTCGAGTTGTTTGCTCAATTCCTGATGGTGAGAGAAATAGAGAAGGAGAAATGGAAGGAAAGTATAAGGAAAGTATAAGTGAGGCGGGACGAAGAAAGGGTAGAAGTGTGAACGATGGGGACTTACTCAATGAAAGTCAGTTCCTTCTTTTCAGGAACAACCTCGTTTGCGGAATTGTCGACAACGACTGCTAGCGCCATGCTCGATTCCCCGCCCTCTTCGTTCCCCTCCTCGAACTTTTCCTCGACGTCGCCTTCGCCGTCTCCATCACCATCCTCGTCCTCTTTTTTCTCTTCCTTCTCGGTTTCTTCCGCCTCCGCTGGTGTCTCGCCGAACAAGTCGCCCGTAAGATCGGAAGCTTCTACATCCATTGTTTCTGCTAATGGAGCGACAGGGGCTGTAGGAGTAGGATCTGGTGTATTGGTTGAGTTTGACATTTCTTTTTCTCCCTTCGTTTATTTGCGAATACTTACCAGATAACGGCAGCAAGGATTCGGTGGATGGGCAATTGAACAAAGACGATGCAAAGGTCAGTCTCTGAGCCTGGTCGACGCGTGTTGTTGTTGCAACATCACAAAAGGTTAGACCTGTCGCGGGTATCTATCTTGGCAGGAACTCGCTTACTATTCTCTACCCATGGCTTGAGAGTCGGGGTTTATTATCCCTGTTGGGCATCAGGTTAGGGGTACGGATTGGTATGCAAGATAACTAAAATCTCTGGATTCCACATTATCTCAAAGCTCTTTGATATAGCTACTATGAATGCTTCCAGTACTAATAAGATACATATATTGCTAGAAAAACCTTACAAAAAACATTTCCCCAAGTTTAGTCGAGTTTAAGATCTTTCTTAACGGCATCCCTGCAAATTGGATGGTAGAAATTGATATGAGTGTTGAATGTTTTAACAGCCAATTCCCTATCACATTCATTCAACAGCCTATATAGAGGCCTCACAAACTTCATTCTTCCCCAATTACCTAAAGCTTCTGCTGCAGGCTGAAATAACTTTGGGTCCTTTGCCTTGAGCCCGACTATCAACATTCGACTCAGAATCTCCGCATTCTTACTCTTCATGAATCCATACTGATTTATCATCGTTTCGACAAGTTCCGTTTTTAGCGGTTTCTCAAAGTCTGTGATTTTTTCAAGGAAAACGACGATCTGTCCAGATGTCCAAGATTCGATATCCTTGGGACCGGGAGTCCAGCCCCCAGATGGCGATGAATCGGTATTTAGACCCTGCCATTTATCCGCGAGGTTATAGCAGACATCGGCAAGCGAAGTGTCAAAGTCAGGCTTTGGTGGAAGGCCAGGCGCGTGGAACCATTTCTCCCAGTCCACTTCCTTTTCAAGTGCCGCAGAAGCTTCAGCGTCGGATGCAAAAAACTCCAATAATGTTGATTTGAAGTCCTCTGAGGTCAATGATTTCTGGTGGAACTTTTTGAAATACTATTCATCTCACGGTTATTAAGTGCCCCGAAAATGATAGAGGGCTCACAAACATGTGGAATAAATTTGTCCCATTTTGCCCTCCCTACCACTCTGTCGAGGAAAAATAGGAAGTTGAATCCCTTCTCATACGGAATACTAGAGAAGGCGTCATCCGGATCCTTCCCTTCCAAGTCCACCACCAGCTTCGTAAATCCATGATCCTCTCCATAGAGTTGCACACTTTCCTTTAAAGCCTTCCATCCGATAATCGCAGAGAAATGAAACTCTTTGTCACCATGAAGAATACCCCCGATACGTCTCTCGAGGTAGGTAGTCCATCCCTCGTTCAGCCAGAAATGTTCCCAACTTGCATTGGAAACTAGGTTCCCAGACCAAGAATGGGAAAGTTCATGGGCAATTACATCGATGTTAGATTTATCACCCGAGATAATTGTTGGTGTTGCGAAGGTATGTGTTGGGTTCTCCATACCTCCGTACGGGAAACTGGGAGGGAGGATCAAAACGTTGTAAGTAGTCCACGGGTAAGGGTACACGAGTGACTCTGCAGCTTCCATAAACCTCTCCATGTCACCCTCAAGCTCCGTCTTGCAAGCTAAAAGCTCTTCAGGACCTGTGTAGACCAATGACCGAGGGCCAATGGAGGCTGATGCAATATCTCCTGACGCAATGGCAAAAAGGTACGATGGAATTGGAATAGGTTGGTGCGATGTGTACGCAAGAGTTCCAGCTTCGTCTTTAGATTTCCCGGCAATGAACTCGTGGGTTCCCGTTGGCAGACCAGAAGTAAGGACTGGAAGGGGAGAACGAATCTTGATATCGAAGGGGGATTTGACAGCTGGTGTGTCTTGGCAAGGATACAGAGAACGGGCATGAATTGCCTGGCATTGTGAGACTGATATCTAAAATTTAGCATAGAATTCAAGAGCATAATGAAGGGTTGAGTTACACATGTAAGGGTGCTTCTTATTAGATGTTTGCTCAGGTGTCATCCATTGCAAAGCGGTGCACTTATCAGTGGTACCGTAAGAGATCTATCAAGGTGTTAGACCTTAAAAATAGGTTCGTTTATTAAACCAAGAATGTGGGGTATGAGTACCTTCACTTTGACGCATTGGCCTTCTTTCACTTCCTTCCCAGTATTGATTGTCACAGCACTCCCGTAAGGCTCCACTCTCTCTGAGACGTCAAATGTTGCTTTATCTCCATCAACACACACACTCTTCACATCCAAATAGCTTGTATCCAAAACCACATCCTCCAACGTATCCTCAGTAGCTTTCAATGTCAAAGTAACATCCCCGGATAACGACGAAGTGGGAAACGACAAGGTCAGGTTGATATCAGTGTGCGTAGTCGTAAAGACAAGGTGGTTTGCTTGTGAATTGGGATCCTTCTTAATTGGTGTCATGTTTGCAAATATTCTTGATGTTGTCGAGAACGAGCGATTGATAGCCAGCAGAGTGCGGGGTTGAGGCTTAAAGTAGGGTGAAGCAGCTGTTGCGGGACGCGACGGTTTGATGCGGAATTGAGGGGACCGGCAAACAGCAGGGATGCACAGAAAACATGGTGATTTTGATGGAGATAAAACTCGAAACTGAGACCGAGCGCGAGTTGCTAGAGTCAGCATGGTGGAAATACATGGATTTTTTGAATAAACTCATGATCCGGTATTGTAGCTCGCTTCGCCAAGAATCTTGTCGCACATGTGCATTAGATCTCGGAATGCACCTATAGCTAGCAAATCACTACATATATTTGATACACATATCTATGAAGTATCTACAAGTACATGTAGTGATGAGCAGTTCCCGATTGTGCAACCGCTTATTCTTGTAATGCCACAGCACATTGGATATATCTTGCCATAGGATAATGCACGCCAATTAATCGTGAACACAATTCAGATATCGATCTGCTAATCACCAAGACGTATATAGTTAGGCGCTCGATTGGTTATCTACGTGCTAGAGATTACGGCCCTGAATCGGGAATGTTACTAAACGCTACGATCCTTGATTATTCAGAACACTGCGTGATACCTCATGACCCAGAAAGCTGAGTGACCCTTCATGATCTAATCAGTTTTTCATGCACTTTGCCCCTGACGCCCCCCCCCCCCCCTATATTCTGGCATTACCTTCTAGTGTCGTTAAATCCCTTGTTCATGCTATAGTGTCTCGCCTATGCATATTAAACTACCACGTATAAACTAGCCATGTAAAACTTCCCTATCGACACCAACTCGAACTTGTGGTTTTTTTCTCCAATACCTTTCACGCGTATACATATACTTGTTCCAGGACTCAAAGCGCATGTAAATTGTTCATATAGATATGTTTTTCACTGCTTCTGGGACACATCAAGTAATCGCCTACCTGGATACGAGATCAAAAATGTGTATTATTGTTGCATGTAAGAAGTACAAGAGGGCCCGAAGGCACGTAAATCCGAAAACATAGTACCCATAGCTGAACAGGACATAAATGTAAAATCGTAAAACCGTTACAACAGAATGAAACCGCTATCACAAATCAGCAGTTTAATTAGAACCTCCACTGCAACTCCTGGCCGCAGAGTAGTCTAGTTAGAGCTTCTGCTACGACTCCTGGCCGCAGGACACTAGTCAAACCGAGTCGTATGGGTTTTACAGCACCCACAACGGGCATGGAAACAAGTGACTCCATCCACCTTATGTGGACATCTCTCCTTATAAAGACTATTCCCCTCTTTTCCACAGTCGCAGCATGTCCAAGTAGGTTTTGGACGATTCTCTCCAATGTATACCATAGGCATCTTGCCGGTGAGTGTAGTTCAAGTCAAGATTTTAAGAATAATGAGCGTTATGATGATTTGAGGATTCGAGCACAATAGTCAGTAGATCGTAATGTTTCTTGAGGACGTATGATGATAGTGGAAACAGATTGGAAGCTCGGTCGTTTATAAGGGCTTCTTTCTGAGACCATGATTGGGTGAATCACTGCTACAACGATATCAGGCCCCGAAGTTCCAAATTCTATGGTTTTTACAAACGTTGTGTTCTTGTGCCATGTTGCCTAGTAAAGGGCCGCAGATATGCGAATAGAATTCGGTAGTCGCCAAAAACTCGTTATGCGATTCTGCGAAGCCTAAGGCAGGTCTTTATGCAGCAGGCCATATCTCCTCTCATCTGGTTCGCACAGCACCGCAGGGCAGAGCTCCCGGTCCCGTCGGCGGTTAACGGCAAAAGATGATTTGCTATGAGGTCATGACGGCGGGATTGTGTCACAGACCACGAAGCGAGCATTGCGTTCAGCCCTAGCCCTAAGGCTGCGAGTGATTCTCGATGACGGTGTGAATACGTTGGATATCTGTCTCAAAGACTCGGAGAAATCTTGAGGTCTTCATGGCGAGGAAAAATCAGCAACTGGTTAGGTCTCTTGCGCCTGGACCTTGAGTAGCCAGAAACTGTAGGCTGAAGTGGACTTGAACAAAGTATGTGATGGTTGATGAGCCTTCGAAAGAGAACAGTCTTCTAGAATAAATTAGTTCTAAACTGCAGACTGCATACCCTGACAAAGTCATCTCTTGGGCCCCATTTTCGTTGTTTTCTTTTGCAGGCCATAACGTCAGACTCTTGGCAACAACGTCGTCGGCTGTTCCTGCTGCTGCACGTAAACCCCGCACTCGAAACAAACCACCCCACCCAAATCCTACTTACAACCTCTGCCACTCCGCTTTACAACATACCATCACCATCAATCACATACAAACATGGCTGACGAGTCTTCCGCTGCTGCTGCTGCTGCACCTACCGCAAAGCCTCAGGCCGAGGAGGTTGGTATGTGACGATACCGCATTCCTCGTTGTTTGATTTGGTTGGGAAACAAAAATGCTAATCGTGGGGTTGACCCAGACTACACACTGAACAACCCCGATGTTCTCACAAAATACAAAGATGCGGCAGTAATCGCCCACAAGGTCCTCGAGGCTGTTTCAAAATTGGCTGTCGATGGTGCAACCATTTTGAGCCTTTGCCAGGCTGGTGACAAGATGTTGGATGAGGAAACCGCAAAAGTGCACAAGGGCAAGAAGATCAGCAAGGGTATGGAAATTCTCACCGTCTACTTTTAACCTCCAGTCTCCTTTGGCGGATCTTTTCACCCACCACCATTGAATGCGAGATTTTGTAGAGGCTACATGCCTTTCACGCGCGGGCGCAATCTACTAAATACGGGAAGACGTGAAAAATTGAATTTTTACTAAAGGTTTATTCATGCAGGAATTGCCTTCCCTACCACCGTTTCTCCCAATGATATCCTCACCCCCTACACGCCCCTCTCCACCGATGCCGGTGAGGCTGGAATTACAGTCTCAAACGGCGACGTTCTCAAGATCCAGTAAGCCCCAAATGAAACCCGGTCTTTCTCGAAGCTGCTTTCTAACCTAACGCCCCTTAGACTCGGTGCCCAAATTGATGGATTCCCCGCAATAGTCTCAGACACCATCGTCGTTGGCGAAGAGAGTAATGAGAGCAATGACCTGATCCTTGCGACCCACTACTGCAATGAAGCCCTTCTCCGTCTAATGATCCCCGCCGATATCCACCCCTCAAACACCCCCGAGAAGCCGTACAAGGTACCTTCATCTTACGAAATCACCGAGAAGCTGAAGAAGATTGCCGCCGCATATGGCTGCACTCTTGTCGAGTCCACCACCTCATTCGTCTTTGCCCGCAACGAGATCGAAGGCAAGAAGCGCCTTGTTATCCTCCCGGGTGAGGGTATCCCCAAGAGTGAGGGAACCCCGAGGTTGGCGAGGCCTGGGGTGTTGAGCTCTCTTTGTCCAAGGGCGGTGGAAAGGTTAAGGAGGTCCCCGGAAAGAGGGCTACTCTCCACAGGAAGACCGACACAAAGTTCAGTCTTAAGAGAGACTCTAGCAGGGCTACACTTAACGAGGTTATTAAGAAGTTTGGAACATTCCCATTCGGTCTCAGACAGCTGGATGATGAGAGGACAGCAAAGGCTGGTATCTTGGAGTGCGTTAGAAGCAATCTGTTTAGACAGTTTGAGGTTTTGGGAGACAAGGACGGTGCGGCCACTTCTAGGCTCTTCACCACCATTGGTTAGTTCTCCCTCGCGTTACTATTGTTGCTAAACTGTGTACTGACCGAGAGACAACAGCCATCACCAAGAACGGTATCACAAAGCTCGCCGCTCCCCCGGCTCCTGATTTCGAGAAGATTACTTCGGACAAGAAGATTGAGGACGAGTCCATTCTTGAGCTGCTCGCCCTCCCGCTAAGGGCAGAGAGCAAGGCATCCAAGAAGAAGAAGAAGAAGACCGCCAAGAAGGAAGATGCCGAATAAATGTAGCATTAGTTCTTTCTTTTCCTTTATTCCCCATTTCTTTCATTCCAAGCTCCTCTTCCTCGTAAGGGAAGTTAGCATTTGTTTCCCTTTTACTAAAAAAAAAAGAAAACCGGCGGGAAACTGATTTTTTTCTTTCATATTATTGTTTTTTTTTGGACGACCCTGAATTCAATGTGCGTGCTGCGGCCATTGTAATACCTATCTTAGTCATATGAAAAGAAAAAAAAGTGATATCTCATGATTTCCTCCCCTCCCATATATCGCCGGTTGTGTGCAGGCCCGCGTCTCCTTCAACCAATCCGCATAAACATCTAGTTACCAAGATATCCCCCACCCACCCCCACTCTCCATCCCCTCTTCCCCGCTTTATATGCATGCACTCTGCACCCCACACAGCCAGCACCCCGATCTGGCCGCACGGCAATCGTGATCAGCGCTTAGCCCCTTCCGCGACCGCGACCGCAACACGTGCCGCTGGCTATCGGGGGGGGGGGGGGGCGGCGTGGCAATCAGTCATGGGGTATCACTCGGTGTTTTGGACTGCGTGATCGTGCTCACCCTTTGCTGCTGTTGTTAGTTCATTTATTGCATGACCATCGCCACTCGTTCTTGCTATAGAATTCCCCCCCCCCCCCATCGGCCACTACTACATATAGTACTACATGTACCGGGTGTTGAGGGTAAGTGATCAGAATCTGATAAGTGAATGTTACGGTGAATCGGTGTATTTGTCTTATCAGATTCTGGTCACTTTTCACTACACCCTAGTACTGATGAGCCCCACCCCCCAAGTACCTCGACTCTCACCCGCGCCGTCACAAACCGTAGAATGGAAAGAGACTAACACTATAGATGGATTGAAACGCCATTGCTGTAACGTACACTCACTCACTCACTCACTCACTCAGTTACCACTACATAGTAGTACTAAACATAACAAACCGGCGTACCACAACAAAACAAAACACAACACAACATGACAGAAAGAAAAAAAGAAAAAAAAAACATAACGGTAGGAAAACAACATTGTATTCGTAGGTAGGTAGGCGTGTGGTGATGATGACCACCTCCTCCTCCTCCTCAAAAGAAAAAGAAGCCGATCCAAAAAGAAAAGAAAAGATCCAGAATGAAGGACCATGGAAGACATCGCCGTCAAACGCGATTTAAGGGAAACATGGAAATTTTTTTTTTCTTTCATGACAAACAACAACAGCTTGATTCCCAAATCCCATAAAAGAAGAAAGAAAGAAAGAAAGAAAGAGGGAGAGCAGTACACACAAAAAACCACAAAAAGAAAAAGGAAATACACACATCACACACAGACACACACATCAAAACGCATAGAGAAACACTCAAAAAAAAGAAAAAAGAAAAAGAATGCCAACTACTACTACTAACTAACTAAACTACCCCATCCTCCTACTCGCCATCACTCGGCGGCTCCGAAAGCTCACTACTATCCTCATGCTCCACCGCCGCCGCCGCCGCCGCCGCCGCACCCGCACCCGCACCCGCACTCCCATTCGTCCCATTAACCGCCGCCACCGTCACCGTCCCCGACGCCCTCGTCTTGCGCCCCCCCCTCGCCAGTTTCCGCTCCGCAACCACTACAGTCGCCGTCGGCTCCGGCGACGACGCCGCCGCACCACCGCGCTTTGGCCGCCCCCGCCCGCGCTTCATCGGCGTGATCTTCTTTTGCGGCGATGAGGGCGCCGGCGCATCGGCCTCTTCGGTCTCCGGCTCCTTCTCGGGCTCTGCATCCTTCTCGGCCTCTTTCTCGGCCTCCGCCGCGTCTTCTTGCATTGGTTCAACAGCTGCGGTTGTAGCTTTCGCCTTCTTCCCCCTTACCGGCGTCGCGCTCGCCGCCGCCTCCTCCTCATCCAGTATCCTCTCCCCCCGAGGTTTTCTCCCGCGCTTCGCCGGCGCCGGCTTCTCCTTCCTTGTTTTTACCGCCGCCGCCGCATCCTCCTCCTCCTCCTCCTCATCGTCGGCGGCGCCGTCGCTCCCCGCATCCCCCATCTCCACATCACTATCCTCATCGCTCTCTGCCTCCACAGTCTCCTCCTCATCGTCGTCATCCTCCACATACTTCACCTTCGTCGTCGACCTCCCGCTCCTCCTCCGCTCCGCATCCGACGGCGCCTGCTTCGGCGTCTTCGGCGGCCTCCCTACCTTCCTCTTCTCGGCGCTCTCCCCCGCGGGCGTGGCCGCAGCGGCTTTGTACTTCTTCTTCGCGGGGGTGCTGGCGGTGCCGCGTGGGGCATTGGGGTCGCTTTTACGCTTCTTACCGCCGGCGCCGTGGGCGCCGCCGTGGCGCGCGCTCTTGGGCTTGATGAGCGCGTCGAGGCGCAGCTCGATTTCCTCGGGTAGGTAGGTGCTGCGGGAGACCTCGAGCGACTGCTCGGCGCTCTGCATGGGCATGAAGAGACCCGCGGGGAGGCGGATCTTGCCGGGCCAGGTTTGGATCGTCCAGTGGTGGTGCTCGGCGTAGCGGCGGATCACGGCCTGGGCGAGCTCGGAGAGGTAGTAGAGGTTCTGTATGTTTGTTAGTTTTTATGTCCCCGCACCACCACCGCACCCCCGAAGAATCCCCCCCCCCCCCCCCCAAACACCGCCCAAAACACCCAGAGAATGGATAGAGCGTACCTCGCTGTTATTCGGACTCAGCCCGTCGCGGAACTGCTTGACGCGCTGTGCGACGTGGTAGATGAGGCTGACGTTCTCCTCGCTCGCGACAGCCGTGAGGTAGAAGAGGATGTATCTGCAGAACCAGGCGCGCACACTTCAATCAGCTCCGTCTGTCTCTGTTCCCCCCCGAAACCGCATTTTTCTTCCCCAGCCCCCTCCTCGAATCGAAAGCAAGACGAAGGAGTGGAGGAAGAGAGAGGGGGAGGGAGGGAGGTGCGTGTCTGTGTTTGTGTTTTATGGCAAGCAAAAGAGAAAAGGAAAAAGGGAAATAGCAGAGGGGAATAATAATAAAAGCACCCCTCCACCAACACCATCTCTTTCCAAACCGGGGGGGGAATTCCCCTCTTTCAACAAAAACGAGAGCAAAAAAAAAAAAGCAGAGTCAAAACTTACTTCGCAAAATCCGCCAAATCCTCCACCTGCGTGCCAAAATCCGGATGATGCGCCAGCAGGCTCAACAGCCTCGCAAACACCGCCTCCATGACATTTCCCGCCGCATTCGCCTTCCGCATACTCGCTGTGCGCGCCTTGACCCACGTGACGGCGGCGTCGCGCATCTCGGGCACGGGCTCGTAGGCCATGAGGAAGATGATTGTGTAGAACCTGTTGCCCAGGCGCGAGGAGGCGAGGTATTTTTTCACCTTGTCGACGAAGCGGGCGCGGACCTCGGTGCAGTGGTCTTGGATGACGCAGGCGAGGCGGTTGAAGTCTGTGGGCGTGATGAGGTCGTCGTAGATTTTGCTGGAGGCGAGTTTGAGGATTGAGAGTGCGGCGGAGAGGCGGAGGCGGGATTTGTGAGCGCGGCTGGGAAAATGTTGTTAGTTAAATCATTACCCCACCACCATCAATCATAGAGACGAAAAAAACTCACGGCGTATCCTCATCAATACTCAACTCCCCCTCCTTCACCACCAACTGCATCAACATCTTCAGCACCGCCTCAGGCACCTTCGTCCTCCTAAACTCCTCCGCCTCCCTCGCCCCTCCAGCACACCCACATGCGCCCTTAGTCTATTCACCGTGATCCGCAACGCCAGCATCTTCGCCCGACACTCCACATCCACCGCCTCCTCCGCCACCCACACCGCCTCCTCCATCCCCCCCCCTCCCCGTCCCCCCCACCACCACCCCTCTCCTCCTCCCCCGCCGGCGCCCGCACCTTCAGCAGCACGTCCTTGGCAATATCCATAATCGCATCATTCTCCTCCTCGCACTGCGCCGGCGCCAGCAGCACCAGCTGCGCCAGACACGCCAGCTTCGCCAGAAAGTGCTCCCCGCCAAACTCGAAATCGCGAACACACCGCCGGATCAGGTCCGCGGCGTACATGTCGCGCCGCTTGGCCGAGTACATCAGGATACTGACCGCGTGTTTCGCCGCAGCGGGCGGCTGCCCCGTGAGCGCGAAGCCGACGAGGGCTTGTAGGAGCTTGCGCTCTTGCGGCATGTCGGCGGGGTAGCTCTTTGCGAAGCCCGCGCACGCCTTGAGGGTGTCTACGGCGCCGGCGGAGTCTGTTGGTGAGCGGGCGGAGGACTGTTCTTGGAGGAGGTCGGAGAGTGCCTTTACGTTTGCTTTGAAGACTGCGGGGTTGGACGAGGACATTTCTTTGAGTACCTCGTGGGCGACGGCGGAGAGGGAGGCCTCGTCGGTGCGTGAGAACTCGACAATGTGCGGGACGTGCGACTTGTTGTAGATTAGCTGCGAGACGCGGTATAGCAGTGGTGTGAGGGTCTCCATTATTGTGGGCGCGGTGCCTGGTGCTTCGGAGATGCGCTTCTTGATCTCTTTGAGCGCCTTGACGACCGTGCGGTAGTCCGAGTCGGGCGAGAAGCAGAAGCGGATGAGTTGGTAGCAGCGGCGGTCGTGGAGCTTCGCAAACTTGAGTAGGTTTTCTTTGGCCTTGGGCGTGTCGGGGAGCTTCTGCGAGAGCCATTCTATAAACTTGTTGAGCGCGCGCTTGACGCCCTCTTCTTCCACGTCCTTGTCCATTACGCCGCCCTACAAAATAAAATAACTTGTTGTCAGCTATCATTTCCATCAAACATGTATATATACCTAGGGTTAGGGTGCGGAGAAGCGCGGGGGCGGGGAGTGTGGAGTGGGGGGGGGGGGGGGAATACATTATAATCCTCACAGCTCTTCAAAAACACATCCATCACCTTCGCATAACTAATCTGCCTCAACGGGACCGCAAACAGCGCCTTCTTCGCCTTCACATCAAGCCCCTTCACCAGCACCAGCAGCCTCATGACCCTAATCTTATCCCCCTCCGCAATCTCCCTCTCGCGCTCCTTCTCCGCCTCCTTCTCCTTCCCCTTCCTGCTGCTGCTGCCCCCACCATTCTCCCCGGCAGAAACGACAAGCTTCGACTCCTTCTCGATCGGCGGATAGTTGACGGGCAGCAGCACGCCAAAGAGCACATGGTCGAGCAGCACATTGACCTCGGCGTCGTTGATGTAGAACGTGTCGAGGATCTTGCTCGGGATCCACCCCAGCTGCGCCGTGACAATCTCGTTGCCCGCCGCAATGTCCGCGTACGCCATGTTCCACATGCGCGCGAGGCAGAACATGCCCTCCCAGCGCACGCTGAACTTCTTGTCCCGCACGCGCTCGCCGAGGTGGTGCAGTATCCGCTTCCCCCACCCCTTGCCGTCGCCGTCGGCGCTCTTGCCCTTCCCGCGACCGGCGGTGGCCGCGGCGGCCACCGGCGCCCCGGAGGCAAGCTCGGGGTTGTAGGTGTTGAACGGCGAGAGGTCCGCGCCGAGCTTGGTTGTGATGCTGGCGTAGTCGAGCTCGCCGAGGGACACGCATGCCGACAGTCGCACGCGGTCGTCCAGATCGTTCAGTTTCACCGCGACGAGGTCGACGAGCTGCACGGCCATGAAGTCGTTTCGCTCCTTCATGATCCTCACCGCAGCCTCAACCCACTTCGCGCGGACCGCGCTACTCTTATCATTTGCGCGGCCGATCCACGCCTTCCACGTCGCGGGCGCGTTCGCGCCGAACGTGCCCGTCAGCGCCATATCACCAATCGTCTCCGTGCTGAGCACCCTAATCTCCGCATTCTCGGCCATGAGCTCCTGCTCGAGCTGCGGGATGACGTTCTGCAGCACAGCCGGACAGGCCTTCCACAGCTCCTTGACGAGCAGGTGGGCCTTGTGCAGTTCCTGGAGGTCCTCGTGCGACGGCTCGTGCAGCGCCGGGTCGTCCGAGTCCGAGTCGGGGCTCATTGACGTGTGGCGGCCGCCCTTGTTGCGCGGCCGCGCCGACGGCGAGGCGTCCATGATGACCTCGGAAAAGTACTGGCAGATCTGCCGTGCCATCTTGTCGACGCACTGGTTGCAGATGGCCTTGGCCATGTTGTAAGCCGGGGGCGGCACGGGCGCAATGAGCTTCGTCTGGCCGTCGTCCTTCTTTCCCTTCATCTCCTTCACCGCGGGCTTCCCGCGTGCCGTGATGGCCGCGAGCGCGGCGGGGTTCGCGCGGAAGAACTGCGCGACAATGATGTCGACCACCTCGGAGGGGAGGGAGTTGCACTCCTCGATGAGCTGCACGAGGATGTCGGTCATCTGGTACTCGACGTTCTTTGGCCCGTCGGGGCGCGCGAGGTCAAAGAAGTTTGTAAAGATCTTGAGCGTGATCGCCTCGCTGTTTGGGATGTCTGAGATGAGCACGACGGACTTTACGGACGCCAGCGACTCGAGGAGGTACAGGTGCTGCTGGTAGTACGGCGTCTCCGGGTCCGCGAGCCCGCGCAGCTGCCTCACAAACAGCTCGAATATATCCTACAACACACACCGTCCGTCAGCCCCGTCAATTGCAACACACCTCTCTCACACAGCTCTCACACACACAGACAGAACGACAAACCTTCAACTGCACCGCCGTATACGGCGCATCCGGCGCATGCAACCTAAGCATATCCGCGAGACAACACGCCGCATACGCCTTGACGCCGGGGTCCTTATGCTGGAGCAGACCGACATTGACGAGCTCGCGCGCGGGGGTGGCCAGGCTCTCGCGGTCGACGGCCTCCTGCTCGAGCGCGATGAGCTCCTTGCTGAGTGCCTTGAGGCGCGTGATGAGCGTGCCCGTGGGGATGGGCTTTCCCGCCTTCCACGAGAGGGCGTCGCTGAATTGCAGCACGTTTGACGGCTGCTGCTCGTCTTCGTCCTCCTCGGGGGGAGGGCGGGAGGAGCGGGCCATCGGTCGCGTGTTGGGGGTGTGTGATGTGTGGGGGGGTGGGGTGGGTGGGTGGGTGGGTGTGCGGGGGAAGATTGTAGGAGGTGGTGGTTAGGTGGTTAGTAGATGGTAGATAGTGGGTAGCCTTGGTAAGCGGGGAGGGAGGGGAGGGGACGCGTTAGGGGGAGGAGGAGTGGAGGGGAGAGAGTGAGGGAGGGTTGGTGTGGATTGATTGATTGAGTAGAGGCGGGGGGGGGGGGGGGGCGGTGGTGGCTTTGATGGGGCCCAGAGAGAGCGCGTCCAGGTCTTGGTCCAGAGAGAGAGGGAGAAAGAGGGATAGGCTGGATGGACCACACAGCAAGGTATCGTGTAAGTGAGTGAGTGAGTGAATGTGTGAGAGTAGAGTATGTGTGAGTGTGTGAGAGGAGAGGAGGGATATCACGGCGGAGAGAGAAAGAAAGCAAAGAGACGCAGCAAGCAGCAGCACAGCAGCACTCCAGAACAGACGCAGACGCAGACGCAGACACAGACACAGAGCCAGGACGGGAGTGAGCGAGCGAGGATACGGGTGTGCCAGGGTTAGGGGTGTGCAGCAGTCGGTCACCCAACTACAATTTACAGACAGGACCAATTAATTCGGCGGGAGACAGACGTGGATGGGCTCTCTTCTGTGCAGAGTGAGTCGCCTTTGATTGTTGGAGATACCTCTTAATTCTTGTCTGTCTCTGTCTGTCTCTGTCTCTGTCTCTGTCTGTCTCTGTCTCTGTCTGTCCAACTGTCACAACACGCTTTGTTGCTGAGTCAGCACAAGACCGCGTGAGGAGCAGTGAGTGACGCCAAGCCCCCGACAGTCTACATCCAGAGAGACACAGAGAGACACAGAGAGACAGACAGACACAGACAGACACAGACAGACAGAGACACAGAGACACAGACAGAGACACAGAAAGCGAGAACCCTACATATATCTACCACCTACTCTCAGCAACGAGTCCTTGTCAACTCGCTAGGATAGACACTACTCTTGTGTTCCATACTCCCCATCCCACTACATCTCTCAATCTCCTCGCCAAGTACTCTGTTCTACTGACTCTACCCCTACTCGCTCACCCATCTACATATAGCTGCCAGTGTCTATTCGCCCACTCACCCTCACCCTCGCCCTTACCTTGCCCCGCCAGCCAGCCAATCCTCGCGCCGAGTGAGACCCAGTGATGCACAACAGGAAAGCAGTCCAATCCTAAACGAGTAAACGTAATGCTGATGACATAAACATTCTCCTCCTCGGCACAAACCCATGCGGCCGGGAGAAACCAAATGTTAAGACTGCATATTTCTGGCTGGACAGAGCTTGTGTGGAGCCCGAGTCACTTGGCGCGAGAGCTTGGGAGAGCTCTCCACAGGAGCAGTCGACTACATACTATCACACACAGCCCCACATCTACATATCGGACTCTTTACAAACCACGTGAGTATGTTTATCCACTTTCGAATTGTCTACCACTAAATCCCCCCCATGCTGTTCTGACAATTAAATTCCGACTTTATACGCAGATGCATAGATTTGAAAAAGAAAAAGAAAACCAAAACGCCACGCTAACTTTGATACGAGAAGCACCTAGTCAACGAGTAAAAAGAGCATATAAAGAATATAAAAGTATCAGGAAAATACAGAAAAATACAAAAAAAAGGGGAGCTTCTCTCCCCTCGTCACTCTCCCACCACCTCACCCATCCCACCACCCGTTTTCGCACCCACCGCATTCCCTCTAGCACCTCCCACGCTCTGCACCACACCCAATGCACGCCAATACAGAACCACAAAAACAGCTGAAGCAACAGAGCACAAACCGCTATCAGTACCAATAGTGCTATATTCAAGCTATCTGCCTCAACTTTTTTCCTCGCTGTTCCGTCTGCCTTGCACTCGTGCAAGTGACATGCATCCGATTTTAGCTGAGGTTTAGACTTTGGCTCTAGCTCTGGGAAGACGGGTGATAGCGGTGGAAGGTGTGGAAGCGACGTGCGAGGTGTGATGGTTAAGGCGCTGGTGAATGGGGCGCGAATCCTGCTCCTCTCTGTCCCTCTTCGTGGGAGAACACGCAGCTTTGAGCTTGAGGACTGTCCTTTCTCTTGCTTATGCATCGTAAGTTGTGTGGTAGGAATTCTTAATTGATGCACAGACTTTAGTCTTTGGTGATCTGTGGCAGATAGAACTCTGTGTGAAATGACCAGTTTTGTGAATAAACTGTCTGTTGGGTGGAGTATATAGTATAGAAGCCAGGACCCAAGCCCCTGGGTATGCGTTTTCCTTTTATACGAAATTAAAGTCAGCTTGCACTAGTAGTTCGAATGACTATATGAACTCAACAGAGTTATGACTCATTCTATTATCATGAATACGTACTTATGAGTGTGCAGGATGGATAAACATGGTGCTCCCGTCGTCAAGCTTACTGCACAAATGGTGAAGCTAGAGGTGGGGTTTGTCAGTACTTAGGTAAAACTCGGGTGAATGTGTCTGTCTTTAATTAAGGGCTAGGAGCAAGAGGACTAAACAACCCCTACTAACCATTTTGTGACCAACACCTACGACACTGGTACATCCTGGCTGATCCCACCAGGCCGATCTCGATGCCAAAAACTCATAGTATCGAACTGTCCAACAAAACCGCAAGACATCAAGACGTCACGTCTCATGGAGAACAGGCGTGCTCCGAATAGCTGATGCCAGACCAAACCAGCTTAGATCAGAGAGACGATTGACAGGCATATTAATTAGAAGGATTAGAAAGCCTAATCTTGACTGATCCCAGGCCGATCTCGGGGCCAAAAACACCTGGTATCGAACTGTCCAACAAACCGCAAGATATCTAGATGTCACGTCTCATGGAGAACAGGCGTGCTTTGAATAGCTGGTGCTAGTCCAAAGCAGAGAGACGATGAACATATTAGTAGAAGGATTAGAAGGCCTAAGAAGGTTTCCATATTTATAGCTACTTCTCGCTTAGGACAGACTGGCATGCCACCTGTTTCCCGTCATAAGTCCACAGTTCATGTAGGATGCATGTACGTATAACCTATATTGGTCACATATACTGCATGGTAATTCTCCAAACTATAACTCTTTTCGTATCATCTGTCCGCACCGAATTACACACACACAAAGTGATTTCAAGCTAGGAAAGCGCCATTACTCCCCCAGTGACCTAACTATTACAAGTACATTGTAATCAAACAGGCCGTCACTTAACGCACACAAACCAGAACCAATATGAAAACAGCCGTAATCGCAGGATCGTTGGAGCGGCACTGTGTCAATGATCGATGTGCAAATACTAGTACGTAGCCTCTCCAGACACAAAACAAAACCCTTTGTCGTCCAGTTAGGGTCTATTACGATGGTTTAATCGAGCTAGCATGTATAAGCAGATGCTTCCATTGATCTGGCTGACGTATAAATTAAGCCCACCTACACCTATTACAAGCACACTAGACCTACATGACGGAGAAGAGCTAGAGCTATAGCTAGCTGAAGCTTCGCTACATGTCATGTAGTCAGAACCTAAGCCTCACGAATAAAAAGCGTGCGCAAAAAGGGTGCGCAAAAAGAAAGAAAAAAAACGCCCATCAGATCATTGCGAGTACTACAAGTAGTTAGCGGATCCATGTCGCTCCAGGACACATTCCATTCCAAAATCAATCTTTAGTATGCCAGAAACGACGCATAGGCACGTTTTTCTCTTCTTCTTCTGTAGGTACTAACACATCTGTTTCTTCATATGCATACTCCCGCTCAATTGTTCGGTGGGGCCTAAGCTAAGTCATCTAGCGCTCCAAGCCCTAATCGGCGCAACAACGTACTTAAAGTGACTTTTTTTTAATAGCAAAGGATTATATTATATCAGTACCATGAGCAGTTCTCTCGTCTGTGGAGCCTAGTTAGGGCGCCCAACCTACCTAGTGGCGGTATATGCCATGAGAGTTTTGTCGAACTCAAAACAGAAGCTTGTCTGGGGGCCGGGTTTTATTTAATTCCTCCCCCCCCCCCCCCCCCCCCCCGCGGCCCTAGGTACCGTGAATCTAGTCCGCCATGTCCGGGCGCTGACTTTTACTATTGCGCTGTAACCCATTGTTCATCAATTATTAGGCCCGTCAATTAGATACCTAGCAATTAAATTGGGGAGAGGCCCAAACAACCCAAGCGGCAAACTAATCCGGGGGAGAGCAGTACATTAGAGGAACTTAATACGATAAGTAGCTTGAGGGAGACCAGCCCGCTCCCCAGCTTATTTTCCCTCGAGGGGTGGTCTAATGTAACGACAAGAACGATCGATACTGCGGTTGAAAAAGGAAGGTGGAAAAAAACTGAGCTCCAACTAATTGACCCAATATTGTAACTAGCTTCCTGGATTCAGCATATCCCCGGTATAACACAGTGGCATAACTACTCTAAGTAAAGAACCCCGCAACCCGGGTCGCCGATGCGCGCGACAATCAGACTTCCGCTTCTTGTAAGGGGCTTGGCCCAGTCCTTCTTGAATATACACTTGAGACGAACACCGACCATCAGATAAGAGTATCACTTGAGGTAGAAGGGTGTAGTATATTGTGTCTACTGCAATGTAATATACTATGAAGACTACGACTAGAATACAGGCCATGTTGGGAGAATTGAGAGGGTATCACAAGATGTTAAGAAAAGAAGCTATATAGTTACAAAATACAGTATGTAATGCAAAAGTGCAAGAAAAATCAGTACATACACCCACTCCTTAAACCGTAGAAGCCACCCCCTTAACTCCTGAAATCACCGAGTGAGATCCCATGATTCTCCACAACCACCCACATGCACAACCCACCACCCTACCCCGTACACCTCTCCCCAGGCGCCCTCCACTCCAGCCCCATCCCCACAAACACCCTCCTCTCCGCCTCCTCCCACCCCTCCCCCTCCCTCCTCAACCCCCCATCAATCCCACCCACCCTCTCCCCATCCCTCTCCCACACGCCCTCCGCCCCAACCCTCCACCCCCTCTCCGCACACCACGTCTTCAAATCCCTCACCCGTCCCTCCCCCGGTCCACCTCATCAGCGCCATCCCGGCCGTCTCAGGCCTCGTCACCACCAGATCCACCCTCCGCCTCACATTCGCGTTCCTCCCCGGCAGCCGCAGCGTCCTCAGTCGTACATCGTCGTACTGCTGCTCCTGCCAGACCAGCATTGCGGTCTGGAGGGTGCGGCCCGGAGGCGCGGTGCGGTCGAGGCGGAGCGTGTAGTTTATGCAGCCCTCGGTCTCGAGGGAGGCGACGAGGCGCTCAAGGAAGGAGGGTGCGAGCTGGGTCGGGTCGGGGTGCGAGATGAGGAGGTCGGCGTCGGTGAGGGATGTGCTGCCGCGGCGGTAGGAGCCGGCGAGGATGGTTGTTGTGCCGGGGAGGAGGAGGGTGGCGTGGTGGGTTATGATGTCTGGGGGATGTTAGTTTTATATGTCTGTGAGTTTTCGATACCTCTTTTCTATATCTTTTTTTCTCTTGTATGGAATAAAATTATGCTTCCTAACAGCAAGAATAGTGACTGCATAATACACACCTCTAATTCTCTCCGCCTCCCATCGCATCATCGGCTTCTGAAAGTCATCATAATACTTGACTCCAATCTGCTGCACCCTGGTGAGTCCCTTCCACCCATACTCAACCACATCATCCACGTTCCTCCACCCCCTCACAAACCACCACTCCCTCGCCGTCTCCGGGCCCACGCCCCAAATCCTATGCAACATTGCCAGCCCCACCAGGTTCTCATTCAGCTTCAGCTTCTCCACGTCCGGGACCGTGCGGAGCTTCGGGTCCGTGTGCGAGCTCAGCCACGAGTGGAATAGGGCCGCTATCTTTACGTTACAGCCGGGGAGGAGGACGATCTCGCTGCTGGAGATGAGCGGGTAGGGGTAGGCCTGGAGGGTGGCGATGGCGGTGGAGTAGGCGCGGATGCCGACCTCATCCGAGGTGAGGGTGCGGTGGTCGCGGATTGTGTGGAGGTGGGCTATGAAGTCTGCATTCGGCGAGTCCGCGGGCGTTGAGCGGCAGCATGAGAGCTTGACCTGGAGACAGAGAAAGGTAAGCCTGCACAATTCGTATAACTGAGCTGACAATGGCACTGAGATAGCTACATGTAGCTACATACATTCCTTCTCACCCACTCCGGCATCTCGTCGATACCTCTCGCCTTGATGCGCTCCTCCTCATACTCGGGCGTACTCGGCCTCGCACCTCTTCCCGCGCTCTTGGACAGCTTTATGATCTCGTCCGTCACCCTGGTGCCATACACACTGCGCTTATACTCACTCCTCTCACTCCGCCACCTCGAATCCTCCTCTGCATTTCTCACTCCGTCCCTCCGCGCCCTCTCCATGACGCCCCTCCTCTGCTCCTCCTCCGCCTGCACCTTCTCCCTCTCCCTCTCCCTCTTCCTCTCCTTCTCCCTCACTGTCTCCTTCACCCTCACCCTCTCCGGCGACGGCCCCGGCGTCACCACCACCGCACACACCGTCGCCGTATACACCGTCCACGGCTCTATGGGGAGGACCCTCCCCGCCTTGACACACTCCGTGAACCACGCCACCTTCACGACCCTCAGCGGGGCCGTCAGCAGCGGCTCCGGCTCCGTCATGATGCCGCGGGTACGCAGCTCAAAGCGGCAGCGTGTGGGTGTGTTGATGTCTGCCAGGAAGAGCGATGCCGTGGAGGGCGTAGGCGTGAGCGGGACATTGTGGGCTGCGAGCTGGGCGAGGAGGGCGGCGTGGGCGGCGGGGGTGAGGCGCGTGGGGAGCAGGAAGGTGGGGGAGAGGTGGGATAGGTCTGGTGCTGGCATTGCGGTGCGGGGGGCGGGGTGGGGGTGGGGGTGGGGGTGCTCTAGATAGCTGCCTGGCTGGCGGTGATCGAGTTGGTATTCTGTAGGTAGCTGCACAGACGGAATTGAGCGGTGACAGATCAGATGTGAAGAGCAGGAGCAGCAAGCAGTGCGGATGCAGGCAGCAGGTGAGCGCCGCCGTCAAGGAGAAAAGCTGGCAAAAGGGCTCAGATATACGACAGCGCACGCACGACGTCATAGTATGTATTTTCGCCGCCATCACAATCGTTTCATATCGTCGCCAACAACAAACACAAAAGCACAGGCCCTCTTCCCCCTCCCCCTCTTCCTCTCCCTCAGCTTCCTCTTCCTCGCGAGAGTGAGAGAGATCGAGATGCACTTTCTTTTGCCCGCAACAGGGCAACTTGGCAGAGTAAGCTTCCCTTCCCTTCCCTTCCCTTCCCTTCCCGGCCGGCCCGCGCAACTGACATTGACAGACATACATCTTATCCATTAATTGTTGCTGCTGCCTAGATAGATCAGATCATTGTGAGATGTGAAGGTTCTGCCCCATTGGCTGGTGCTGTGCTGTGCTATGAGTCGAGTTATGAAATTAAAGTAAGATTGTGCGTGTAGAAGAAACGACCATACACAAAACCAACGGATATCTATGTAAGAGAGAAAGAAGAAGGTCTGTAAGAATGCACTCTAGGTAGCCATGCGACGTTACACACCCGCAACAGCAAGGTGCAATTATCTTTATTTCAACATCTGGAACATCTGGATACAAGCAAACAAACACCACTGTGCCTCCATACTGTACCTAGAGTACTCTACATGTACATAACGTAAAGAACTTCAATGCCAGGCCAATTTCACCTGTATGTCCCCCACCTCCCAGCCGCGGTGCTCAGGCTCCAACACCCCCCAAAAGCCAAAACCCGGTCCACCGTCAATATGGTCCGTGCACGCAGTCCCACACACACACCCTAAGGTAGCCGAGACGGGAAAGAAAAAACCCGCATATCGATCATTACCACTTCGCAAATCCCCCCCCCCCCCCCCGGGGGACGGGTGGGGAATTTTTCACAAACGCCTTTCTTCCCGCCTCGCTTCAATGTATGTGTTATTCCCCAGAGCATTGTTGTTGGGATTCAGCTCCTGTTGGTGCTGTATGTTGTTGCAATTGCAATTGCTGGTGCTGGGCGCTGGCGCTGGTGCTGTTCATGCGCTGCATGGGTTAAAACGGCAGTTCCAATACTGCGGTATCGTGCACGTAGAAAAAGAAAGTCCCGACTATCATACTTACCACAGCTTCTATGCTTACATACCTTATTAGCAGCGCCCAGAGTAGAGTACCGCCATCAGAATTACTTGTATGGGATACTTCTGATGTAGATCGATGCCATCCAACCAATTATTCAAGCGGTAGTCCCTGGACGGAGATAGCCAATTTTTCGAGTATGGGGAAAGGAAATCCCTTCCACCCAGTAACGACCTCCCAGGTGGCGGAGACCCAGAGAGTCTATTTTAGCTGCCTAGCTTGGCGCAGCCAACCAGACGACACCGATGCCGTGCCATGATGTATCGCCGTGTGGATTGCTTGATACAGCACTTAATAGAGAAGTAATAATATTAATAGCCAGAGCCTTACTATTGCTTTGAATCGATAGGACTGAGCTGTATGCCGAAGGTAGGTAAATAGATACACTAGTCAACCTAGCGATATCCCAAGGTCGTCACGGTGAAAATGTTGCTTCTCATACCAGCAAGTAGTTATATCGGGTTCCCAAAGGCTATGAATGAAAAATCCATGTTGAGCCGCTCTCTAGTTCCAAAGAACGAGTGATAATCTATGATACAATCCCCCTGGCTAAAAAACTACGCACAACTATTTCGTATTTATCGGCGACTGTGTTTTTCTAGAGATACATCGCTCCCCCACGCTTATCATCATAAATGCGTTTCCAATAACCCAATATGTATACATATATGGGGCCATCATGGCAGGCTAACACAACACCAACTCCTTCTCAAAACGGGAATCAAAAGAAATTAGTATTCAAAATCATCATCAACGCCCTTGCCACCCTTTTTGCTACCGCTCGTCACCACCTCCTGCCTCTTGTACATCTCCGCCACCTGTGAGCTAGTCGTCGCGTCATCAGCGCTCTTATCGTCGCGGACCCTAATGAAGCGTGGGAACCGCAGCGAGATTCCCCTCCCTTTGCCCGTATCGTCTGCCATGCCAGCAGCGGCCTTGTAGATGGGACTGATCGACAAATCCGCAGTCTTGACCTCCCAGACAATCTTCGGCTCAAACCAGACATCGGGCTGCAGCTTGTTCCCGCTGTCGTGCAAGTAATATGGCTTCGGCCTTTCGATCTCCAGCTCCGACAAGAGCTTGTAGAACTCCTCGAGGTTCTCCTCCGAGAACCCAGTTCCGATTTTGCACATGGTTTCGTAGTTCTGCGAGGAGGGGTTGTAGCATGCCAGCAAGAAGGCGCCGTAGCCTCCAGTGCGTTTTCCACGGCCGTAGTAGGCGCCGACGACAACGAGGTCGAGTGAGTCGCCGACGCCGGCGAGGTAGTCTTTTTTGACCTTGAGCCAGTTTCGACTGCGCTTGCTGGGCTCGTAGCCGCTTTCTTCGCCGTCGAGCATCTTGACCATGAGGCCTTCGCAGGATGCTTTGACGCTCTCTTCGAGGAAGACTTGGATCTGTTCAAGATCATTGGCGTCGGCGTATGTTGCGAATGTGAATTCTCCTTCAATCTCGGTGAATGACTCGTGCATAAGACGACGACGTTCTTCGAGTGTTTCCTGGCACAGAGACTATAGAGGGATGTATCAGCATTTATCAGTGAGTGAGAAAGTAGGGAGCTAAAATAAATACCTTGCCGTTCAGGAATAGCAGATCAAACGCAAAAACGCAAACCTTCACCTTGACATCTTCAATCTTCACATCCTTCCTCTTCCTAGTCATCAACTGCTGGAACGGCAGCACTCTCTTCTCTTCCTTATCCCATGCTACTGCCTCACAATCTAGCACGAAGCTCTCAACACCGGGCTTTACCCATTTGTCAAGAACCGAAAGGATATCCGGATACTTCTTGCTCAGGTCCTCAGAGCTACGTGAGAAGATCTTGGTGATACCCTTGGTGGAAGATGTTGTAGCAGATATGGAGGTCGCAGGATACGAAATTGAAGAGTCGGGAGATACAAAGTGGATTTGTGCGCGCTCCCCGTCATATTTGTATTCACAGGTAAAACGTTTGTTTTCGAAGCGGTCAAGGACCTCAGAGATGGACTTGGTAGGTTTAGCCAACATAGGTTTCAAGGGGACACCTAGTACCGAGTTAGTACATAAGTCCCAAAAACCACTGAAGAAAAAGGTAGTTGTACCAGGCTGGAGCTTGCAGTGATCCTTCAGGCCCATCAAGCCATATTTCATCATCGCAGGGATAATAACCTCGTAACTCGGCAGTTCACTGCAATCTCGTTAGTAGTGTAGCTGCGACCACTTAATTGGCAGACATACCTAAAAACACTTCTCAGTTTCAACTCTGCCTCCGTCAACATCGAGACGCTGGCTTTTTGTCCCTTCTGTTCCATTTCATGCACAATTCCGGCCTGACTTAGGGCAACAATAACTGTATTCTCCGCCAACCCAGTCCTTAGTTTCCCCTCCAAACCACGAACCAAATACTTTGCTTCATCGCCCCTGGCGGCCGCTAGTAATTTCTTGATACCCGCGACTTTTCGCCCCTGCCCACCTTCACCTTTGACGGTTGCAATCTCAAGGAGACCCTGATGCACGCTTTTCACCGTCAAAGGCTTTGGCTTAAATAGTGTTCCCTGCTTGTTCCTACTCTTCATGGCTACCATTCCAAGATCTCCAATTTCGTTTTGGTCTTCCCGAATCATGGCCATACTCCGTCCACAACTTTCACCAATAGCCTTCATAAGCAGACTCTCCCCTATTCCCAACTCGACTCCTTCATAGTCTGCCGCCAGCTTATTAATCATCAAATGAATGACCATCAATAAATCATCTGGGGTCAATCGCAGCACCTGACGCAGAAATAAAGATGCATGAGATAATTTTTCAAGTCTTTTAGTCGTTCCCTCAGCAAGGGTAAAAGTTTTGACCAATGCAGCATAAGGAGTTGGTGTACCAGCTGCCCAGTCAGGGAATGGATGTGATGGAGCTTTCCCGGAAAGTTGCTTTGCAACAACCTGCCGGGCCTTAGCTGCTAGAGCTGGCTTCATATCATCATCAGAGCCCACTTCAACCTCTTCCTCGACAGCTGATTTGGACCCTTCATCTGATTCCTCAACTTCTTCCGACTTTACTTTGCTCTTCTTCGGAGATGCTGATCTCTTCTTTGGAGAATTAGAATTTTTACTGCCCGGTTTCCTCCCAGGTTTTTTGGCAGGTTTATCGTCCGCATCTTCCATTATATGGTCTGATTCTTCACTGACTTCCTCCATCTTCAGTTCTTTGGGGGTTGGTGGGGCTTTTTTAGGAGTTTTTGTCTTGGTTGAGCGTTTATTCCGCTTGGTCACTGGTTCATCGTCTTCCTCTTCAACTTCTGAAGCTGCTTCATTAGGCTCCTTTTTAATGGATTTTTTGGTGTTTTTCTTGGGCTCCTGGGGTGTGACGTCTTTGGGGTCTTTGATAGATAGTCGCTTGCTCTTCCTAGCTATCAATTCATCGTCTTCATCTTCAGCCTCAGATTTTATCTTTATTTCCTTCTCTTTTGACTTTTGAGATTCTTTGGTGGGCTTCTTGTCCTTTGCCGGTGGTGAGCGTTTGCCGCGTTTTGTTACTGGCTCCAAGTCTTCTTTCTCGGAAGCGGACTCTGGTTCTTTTTCAGCCGCTTTTGAGGGTTTGCGACTACGTTTTTTAGAAACTGGCTCCAAGTCTTCTTTCTCGGAGGCGGACTCTGGTTCTTTTTCCGCCGTTTTTGAGGATTTGCGACTACGTTTTTTAGGAGCTGCGGATGTGCGTTAGAATGGTCAATGCTGGCGAATCACAGGAGAATGTTTTCTAACCAGCAGTTTTATCGGTTTTCTCGGGGGCCACATCCTCAGCTTCATTGGTTCCGGCCATCACAGCATCGCCCTCATCGTCTCTAGCTACCTCCGAAGCTGGTTCAGTCTCCTTGTCGATGCCCTTATCTGCCACATCTTTCCCTGCCGCCTTCGCGGCATCCTTTTTAGGGACCTTGAGCTTCGTCTGTTGCTGTACTGGAGGCTTTGTTCCAGCAGGTAAGGTGAAGAATCTCCTACACAATATGTTAACTCAAGGCCCCAGAACAGAGGAGAATGTGCGGAACCGAGATGGATAAGAAAAAATATTAATCACACCCCAGTGTCAGTTGCTTCTTGACGTACCCGAGAGTGGCTTGTTTCGGCGGCATATTCCCGATCCTCGATATCGCGTTTGTGCGTAGTGTACGAGTGACGAGATTTGCACGCGAAAGGAGAAGAGTAATATTGTGGAAAGCCACAACGACGACCGAGAAATGGGTGTGGCCTATGTACAAGTGGTGGTGTGCGTAGGTCAGCGACGTGGGGGCCCTGCAAAGAGACGCGACTGGCTGGAGCAATTAGTGAGGGGGTTGGTCGACGCGTTTTTTCGTGTTACAGCGATAGGTACATGTGAGGTTGGCACTTAAGAGCTTAAACATTTTCTTGGCAATCTAAAGTAAAGATGTCATACAAACATCAGCAATGTACTCCTGTCCCTGGAGTACATACGTAGTAATTCTGGTCATTCAGGTAAGGTCTTCTTTTCAAGAGAAACCTTAAAACCCATGGAGCACCTGCTAGACCCCGGCCCGTTCTGGATCCTGTAAGCTTCTCCCCTGCACTCGTGCAACAGAAGGAAATTAAAGGTAAAGTCTTAATTACATGTATATACCTCTAGGTCGAGGTCCATAAAATGCCAAATAACCAAACTTAGTTCTCTAGGAGATCCCGAAATGTCTGCCAGTCTAGCCTGTGTTTCCTGCGCTTGACCTACTAATAGTTGTGTGAATATAGAGCGCAGTTGTCCATCATTCACTTATTTGTACACTTATGTACAGCCACTCTGCAAAAGTGTTCGTGATTCCGATTTCAGAGTGAGACATTTCTCCATATGTAACCGCGGCGGACCATCAAGAACCCCCAAGAGAAGACTTTCCCAGTGACCAATGGCGCCCAAATTAATGAAGAATAAGATCAATGACCTATCTTCTTTTTATATATAGTCACAAACTATATTATATATTTTTCGTTGTTTTGAATCTCAACTTTAATAACATCAATATTACGGGTGTGCCACACTGCGCACTGACATTAAAACTATATCACGAACACTTTTGCTGAGTGGCTGTACTTACATAACTCTCGCTCCCTCGCCAAGGATACGTTCTCCTGCGAAATTAACTGACATTCAATCATTGACCGACTTCTTCTATAGACTGGTTACGACACACATTCAAGTAAAAATACAGGCACATGCCCACATGTGTTCTTGTATATTAGCGATATGTTATACTTAAAGAAATTCATCAATACAGGCCGCTGCTTGTTATCCTTCCTCCTCTCAGAGCGATGTACTCCTAACGCCAGTAAGAAGCGTCCGTCACGGGATATCACTCGGTTATTGGGGGAGACGGAGGTTTGAGCACCCCAATACCTACATGTACATACTCCATGGAGTGTAGAATCCTGCATGCGTTAAATATCCGGAATCTGATATATCCAACATGGCTGATTTAATGCACAGAGCACAACCGATGTTGGGCCCTGGTAGTACAGCATATCCACCCGAAAATAAACGGAAGTCCGCGCCGAGGAGAGCACTAATTTTCTCGCTTGTTTGCAAACTGATAGATAACAAGGCTCCGGAAGTTATTTGACTCCTTCCTTCTTTGCTTGTTGCTTGTGCAATGGTGGTGTGTGATTTGTGATTTGAACCTTCTACCTGGCGAATTGGATGAGATGAACGAATTAAAGATCCACTGGAAGCCCACATGATGTGTTCTGCATGTTGCTGATTACTGATTTACCATGTGTGGTACGTCCAAACATTTTTTGTTTCGAACGGCCATTAACTACACTATTCTGGGGATATGAGAGAAATGCGGGGTACAACAGACATAAGCCGCAGTTTGTACTGAATCATGTAGATACCTCAGGCTGAATAGAAAGTGCGTGTGTGGGGCTGGAGCACCATAAACATAATATGCGTTATTGAAAACAAAGTGATAATAGAGTCGCTTGACCAAAGCCACTGTCTTATCTGTGTAATATTACATCAAGGCCGCTTAGCGCTTATGTATATGGAGTCGAAACATAGAGACAACGGTTATATACGAGGAACGAACTGTCAGATAAACATAGCAGAGATAGGTTTATGAACGTATTTGCCAAGTTGAAAAAGGTCCGCCGTTGTCCCCTCAAGTATATATCGTATCAGTGTTGACAATGAGTTAGGGTGATTGCCATGCCATTTCAACGCACGTACGAGCCCGACTGCAGCATGTACCCGCCTAAGAATGGGCAAGGAGAGGCGATGAATCAACCAAGAGTCTTGTACTCGGGGAAGGTAAAAAGTACCGGACAATGCAGGTTTTTGGTTCACCAATGGGCGCGCGTGCTAGGCGTGAACTACTGCAAAAAAAGCCCAGAGACAAAACTCGCATTGTCCGGTAACTTTTTACCTGCCCCGAGTACTGTACTCGTATTTCACTGACGTTTTTGAATTGGGCCATTATTGCATACACCCAAAATCATGAGCTTGGTGTATTTTTGTATGGCATGCAATATCAGTCGCGTCCACAAACGTCAGTGAAATACGAGTAATTAAGTAGCTCATCGTGCCATTTCATACAGGATGCGATGTACGCCGGAGATGCTGTGTGCATCATTTAGGCGCTTGCGGTTATCGATAGAGACATTGCAGTGCGGGGTACATATCACACCAGCGGAGTGAACAAACTTGATCCACTTCCACGGAGGCCGCTTGTGATGTATGTACATATATGCCGGTGTGTACATGTAAGGTGACTTTGTTCGCCTGCTGCTGCTGTGTTCGCTGAACCCAATTCACTGCTAGTATAAAGGAAGGCTGGAAAGGAGGTGATATTTATACACTAGGACTTTATCTGGCCTCCGGTTGAAGAAGCAGAGAGTACCTCGATGATCCGAATATCTGGCGAAGCTTTTGAGCCTCAATCAACGAGACTGAGTTAGATATCGTCATCAATCATCTTGGGACCTGCAGAAACGAGTCTGTCTCTCGCCCGCAGGTTGAGTTTTGAATCACACGGCATATCCCGCCAATCGATACCGCAAATGAGTTGTTGTTTCCACAGCAACAGGGTGGTTCAAACAGGGTGCGCACGAGCCAGGTGAAATGAGGAGATGGGTTTCTATCTGGGCGGGGGGGCAACCACGTTTGGCGCTGCAGGGCTGGAGAACCCCGATGCCATCCGTTTTGTTCTTTATGGGTCATCGAAACGAAACGGGTAATACCCAATAAATGAGGCTGATAAACTGGCGGATGTACTCTCGAGAGTATTCTATTCTACATACATGTATCTATCTACCTCAAGTATGATACTATATTCAACAGACGTACCTGATGCCCAAAATCAACTGTCCATGCAAGGAAGGAAACGAAGCAAATAAGAAAACTCTGCTCAACAGTCTCAACACCAGAGGGATATTTGCGCGAGTAAGTACTGGTGTATAGGTACTTGGCTTGATCGGACCCGGAATTGCCGCCGAGGTTCTCCTTCGGGCTGTAGGAAGTGACGTGTCTATGTTGAGAGATTCACGGTCTCACATGATGTTGACCGGTTCGGTCCTCCCTACTTGTTCCGGCATCTCCAAGAGGGGTTGAATTGATGGGTTGCCCTGTCTTGATGCAACTGAGTAAAAGATCTGTATCGTGTGTGGGAAGCTACAGTATTTGCAATGTCGTAGGTAGGGATGGTGTGGCATTGGGGTTTGTGAGATGCGCTTGCTTCGGAACCACAGTCAATCAGCTGGTGAAGACGAAAACGCAGAAATGATGAGAATCTCTAGGAACCTGTCTTTGACATATCATCTTATTGATATCTTCTGAGATGATGTGTAATGTGTAATGTTTGTAGGGTTTGCTATATGTAGTAACTTGATCATGTAGTTCCTACATTGAGTGCCACTCTGATGATATTTACCGGTGCTTGGAATAACTTCTGGATATGCCTTCTGGAGTAGAATAGATTACCTACTCTTCAAGTCTATGTACCTATCCTATGCAGAAGAAGGGAAAAACGCAAACCCGCAACATTCGATTTGCTGCGTGGGGAGAAAGAGTGTGAGAACTGAGTTTCCAAGCATCGTCAGACCGCCCAACCCTGCATACTTTGTGCCCCCTGTCAACGCACGAGGTCAGGTAGAGAGAACACAGTCGGACCAACCCCACCACTCCGCTTGTTCCTCCAATCCCCTCTTCAAGAGTCTCTTCTCTTCCCCCTCCTATTCGAATTTCCTGCCTGCAGCATTGCTTCTCTTTCAACTGGTCATATTCCCATTGGTTTTTCAGTTTCCTCCTTTTCAAAGGCTGCATACGGTGGCATCAAGTGCTGCTTTGCTTCTCCTGGAAGGTATGTGGTGACTAGACCATTTATTTGCAGCTCATCTCTCTCCCTACATTCTTACTCGTGCACACGGTCCACCAAAATACATCGTGCATTTCTGATGTCACTGCTCTGCCAATGAGGACATTTCACTAACCGGCATCGGCATAGTAGTCATCAAGAAAGGCAGTAAACAGAACGAAACGAAACGACGAATCCGCTGTCACAGGGCAGGTGGGACCAGGCGGGAAAAAAAAAGAACAAAATCACACCAATTCATCTCGGCATCTCCTCCATCATCTTTCCCTCTTCATCCAGAATCTGTACCTCAAAATCTCCAAAATCTCCAAAATCTCTCCAACCTCTTCTACATAATCATGTCTTCTACCGTTGAACCCACGGATTCCACCGAGAAGGTTTGGTTTCCATCGTTACCTGTTTATTTGTTTAAAACTAACATGATATGCACACGAAGCCTATCCTCGAACCAATCTCTACATCTACCGATTTCTATTCAACAGAGGTTACAGAAAACCAATCAAAATCACATAATGCCAAGAATATTGGCACAACTACGCCGGAGGTTGAGGGAGAGGAGCAACAGATGATCGCGGCCGTAGATGACTATCCTACAACACCCGTATCAGCAACAGATCCTAAATCCGATTCCGTATTACGGTTGACAGAAACCCCAGAGACAAAGACAGAAGAGGCGCCACTACCCCCATCTTCATCAGTAGAACCGTCGCCCTCTATAAGCTTGAAGGAAGCTCAAGAGAAGGCTCTTCCGGAAGAAACTGCCTTGGAAAAGGTAGAGGTAGAAGAGGGTCAGAAGTCACAGCAAGAGACAACAGGGTCATCCCTCGAAGTTGGAGATGAAACTTCTAGCAATAAAGAGCACAATGAAGGAGACCCGGAAACCTCAGAAACCCGGACGCCATTAGAAACAACAGATCGACCACAAACTGAGGAACCTCCAAACACAGAGGTGCAGGGGGAACCACTTTCAGTTGATGCTAAATCTGAGAGTCTCGACGTCGATACACGGGAACATAGCGAGAAGGATATTCCGGAAGTGGTTGTGGAGCTGACCGCTGAAAATCAACCAAGCCATGGTGACGACCTTGGGCCAGATTCTACACCTGGACAGAAGGAAGCATTCGAGAAGCGCAAAGCTGATGCCGAAGCTGATGTTCCTCTTGTCGTCGAAGAACCCTCAGATGCTAAAGTTATTCCAAACGAAGATAACGCCGTCGAGTCGACAGAAGCAGAGAAGAAGGGCGATCTTCCCACCACAGAAGAAGAGGATGAACGAGAAAGGCAGGCGGAGGCCGAAAAAGTTGCTGCTGCTGAGTTAGCCAGTATCAAGGCTAAAGAGCAGGCCGAAGCCGAACGCCTGCGGCTCGTCGAGGAAGAAAATGAGCGCGAAAGACTTGCGGCGATCGAAGCCGCCCGGGTTAAGGCGAAAGAGGAGGAGGAGGCAGCTCGAATTAAGGCCGCAGAAGAGGAAGCCGCTCGCGTGAAAGCTGAACAGGAGGCTGAAGCTGCCAGGGTGAAGGCCGAGGAAGAAGAAGCCGCCCGCGTCAAGGCCGAAGAAGAGGAAGCAGCCCGCATCAAAGCAGAACAGGAGGCCGAAGCCGCCCGCATCAAAGCTGAGGAGGAGGCCGAAGCCGCCCGAATCAAGGCGGAAGAGGAGGAGGCAGCCCGCATCAAGGCAGAACAGGAGGCCGAAGCTGCTCGAATCAAAGCCGAGGAGGAAGAGGCAGCCCGTCTGAAAGCAGAGCAGGAGGAAGCCGCCCGCATCAAGGCGGAAGAGGAGGAGGCAGCCCACATCAAGGCAGAACAGGAGGCCGAAGCTGCTCGAATCAAAGCCGAGGAGGAAGAGGCAGCCCGAATCAAGGCTGAAGAAGAGGAAGCAGCACGCATCAAAGCAGAACAGGAGGCCGCCCGTATCAAGGCGGAGGAAGAGGAAGCAGCCCGAATCAAGGCGGAAGAAGAGGAGGCAGCTCGCATCAAAGCAGAACAGGAGGCCGAAGCCGCCCGCATCAAAGCCGAGGAGGAAGAGGCAGCCCGTCTGAAAGCAGAGCAGGAGGAAGCCGCCCGCATCAAGGCCGAAGAAGAGGAAGCAGCACGCATCAAAGCAGAACAGGAGGCCGAAGCCGCCCGCATCAAAGCCGAGGAGGAAGAGGCAGCCCGTCTGAAAGCAGAGCAGGAGGAAGCCGCCCGCATCAAGGCCGAAGAAGAGGAAGCAGCACGCATCAAAGCAGAACAGGAGGCCGAAGCCGCCCGCATCAAAGCCGAGGAGGAAGAGGCAGCCCGTCTGAAAGCAGAGCAGGAGGAAGCCGCCCGCATCAAGGCCGAAGAGGAGGAGGCAGCCCGCATCAAGGCAGAACAGGAGGCCGAAGCTGCTCGAATCAAAGCCGAGGAGGAAGAGGCAGCCCGAATCAAGGCTGAAGAAGAGGAAGCAGCACGCATCAAAGCAGAACAGGAGGCCGCCCGTATCAAGGCGGAGGAAGAGGAAGCAGCCCGAATCAAGGCGGAAGAAGAGGAGGCAGCTCGCATCAAAGCAGAACAGGAGGCCGAAGCCGCCCGCATCAAAGCTGAGGAGGAGGCCGAAGCCGCCCGCATCAAAGCCGAGGAGGAAGAGGCAGCCCGTCTGAAAGCAGAGCAGGAGGAAGCCGCCCGCATCAAAGCCGAGGAGGAAGAGGCAGCCCGTCTGAAAGCAGAGCAGGAGGAAGCCGCCCGCATCAAAGCCGAGGAGGAAGAGGCAGCCCATCTGAAAGCAGAGCAGGAGGAAGCCGCCCGCATCAAGGCCGAAGAGGAGGAGGCAGCCCGCATCAAGGCAGAACAGGAGGAAGCCGCCCGCATCAAGGCCGAAGAGGAGGAGGCAGCCCGCATCAAGGCAGAACAGGAGGCCGAAGCTGCTCGAATCAAAGCCGAGGAGGAAGAGGCAGCCCGAATCAAGGCCGAAGAGGAGGAGACAGCCCGTATTAAGGCCGAAGAGGAAGAGGCAGCCAGAATCAAAGCCGAAGAGGAAGAAGCAGCACGCATCAAAGCAGAACAGGAGGCCGAAGCCGCTCGAATTAAGGCCGAGGAGGAGGAGGAAGCCGCCCGCATCAAGGCTGAGGAAGAAGCTGCCCGTATTAAAGCCGAGGAGGAAGCAGCCCGCATTAAGGCCGAAGAGGAGGCAGCCCGAATCAAGGCTGAGGAAGAAGCTGCTCGTCTCAAAGCAGAACAGGAGGCCGAAGCTGCTCGAATCAAAGCCGAGGAGGAAGAGGCAGCCCGAATCAAGGCCGAAGAGGAGGAGACAGCCCGTATTAAGGCCGAAGAGGAAGAGGCAGCCAGAATCAAAGCCGAAGAGGAGGAAGCAGCACGCATCAAAGCAGAACAGGAGGCCGAAGCCGCTCGAATTAAGGCCGAGGAGGAGGAGGAAGCCGCCCGCATCAAGGCTGAGGAAGAAGCTGCCCGTATTAAAGCCGAGGAGGAAGCAGCCCGCATTAAGGCCGAAGAGGAGGCAGCCCGAATCAAGGCCGAGGAAGAAGAGGCAGCCCGAATCAAGGCCGAGGAGGAAGCTGCTCGTCTGAAAGCAGAACAGGAAGCCGAAGCCGCCCGTATTAAGGCCGAGGAGGAGGAAGCCGCCCGCATCAAAGCTGAACAGGAAGCCGAAGCAGCTCGTCTAAAAGCAGAAGAGGAGGCTGAAGCAGCCCGCATCAAGGCTGAGGAAGAAGCTGCCCGTATTAAAGCCGAGGAGGAAGCAGCCCGCATTAAGGCCGAAGAGGAAGCCGAAGCAGCTCGCATCAGGGCTGAGGAAGAGGAGGCAGCCAGAATTAAAGCCGAAGAGGAAGCCGCGCGAATTAAAGCAGAAGAAGAAGCCGAAGAGGCTCGTCGCAAAGCAGAAGAAGAGTCAGCTAGAATCAAGGCCGAAGAAGAGGAAGCTGCGCGCATCAAGGCAGAGGAGGAAGCTGCCCGCCTTAAAGCAGAACAGGAAGCCGAAGCTGCTCGAATCAAAGCCGAGGAAGAGGAGGCAGCCCGCATCAAGGCCGAAGAGGAGGAGACAGCCCGTATTAAGGCCGAAGAGGAAGAGGCAGCCAGAATCAAAGCCGAAGAGGAGGAACGTGAGAGGCTTGCTGCCGCCGAAGCTGCTAGGATCAAAGCTGAAGAGGAGGAAGCCGCACGCATCAAGGCTGAGCAGGAAGCCGAAGCCGCTCGTGTCAAAGCAGAAGCCGAAGCAGCAGCTGAAGCCGAGCGCCTGCGGCTTATCGAAGAGGAGCAGGAGCGAGAGAGGCTTGCTGCTATTGAAGCTGCTAGGATCAAAGCTGAAGAAGAGGAAGCTGCCCGTATCAAGGCCAAAGAAGAAGCCGAAGCAGCCCGCCTCAAAGCAGAGGAAGAAGCAGCCAAAATCAAGGCCGAACAAGAAGCTGAAGAAGCACGCCTAAAGGCTGAGGGGGAAGAGCGCGAGAGGCTTGCTGCCGCAGAAGCAGCCCATATCAAGGCTGAAGAAGAAGCCGAAGCCGAACGTCTAAGACTTATTGCGGAAGAGGAAGAACGCCAGAGACTTGCCGCCATCGAAGCTGCTAGGATTAAAGCCGAAGAAGAAGTTGCCCGAATTAAGGCTGAAGAAGAGGCAGAGGCAGCCAGGATCAAAGCTGAGGAGGAAGCCGAAGCCGCTCGTGTTAAAGCAGAAGCCGAAGCAGCAGCTGAAGCCGAACGCTTGCAGCTTATCGAAGAGGAGAAGGAGCGTGAGAGACTTGCCACTATCGAAGCTGCTAGAATCAAGGCGGAGGAAGAGGAGGCTGCTCGCGTTAAAGCAGAACAGGAAGCTGAAGCCGCCCGTCTCAAGGCAGAGGAGGAGGCCGAAGCCGAACGCTTAAGGCTCGTCGCAGAAGAGCAGGAGCACGAGAGACTTGCTGTCATCGAAGCTGCGAGAGTTAAAGCTGAAGAGGAAGAAGCCGCCCGTGTTAAGGCCGAAGAAGAGGCAGAGGCTGCCAGGATCAAAGCTGAGGAGGAAGCTGAAGCTGCTCGCATCAAAGCAGAAGCCGAAGCCGAAGCCGAACGCCTACGACTTATCGAAGAGGAACAGGAGCGTGAGAGAATCGCTGCTATAGAGGCGACCCGCATTCAGGCCGAGGAAGAGGAGACTGAACGCCTTCGACTGATCCAAGAGAAAGAGGAACAGGAACGACAGGCAGAAGCCGAAAGGTTCGCCGCTGCTGAGGCTTCACTAATTCAGATGGAGGAGTTAGAACAGGCTGGGCGTACCAAGGCTGTTATTGAACAAAACGTTACTGAGGAGGCTTCTAATATTGAGCAACACAAGGAAACGATCACTCGAAATGATCAAGGTACGTTTAACTTCCTTGTGCCCCATAAATTAATGTTTCTGACAGTCATAGGTAAAAATATTGAGGCGGAAGTGGTCGAGCCAGGTATATTTGTCGATAAATCGAGTGGAGAAACTATTATCCCCGAGGATTCTGATTCGAACGCTGGTCTCATTGCTGCTTCTGTGCTTGCGGGCGGTGCTGCTCTTGGTGGCGGTGCTGCAATCATTGCTCTTGCTTCCAAAGACAGGCCATCTTCAGGGGCCGATACCAAAGCACCTATTGATGGTGGTAAGCAAGGAGCGTTGGCTCAAGATGATGAGGTGATCATCGAACCGGCCCCTCAGGCTGGTTCAGGGCCAGTTCATGGAATTATCATTCCAGAATCGAGCGTCAAGCAAGCTGTGAAGGATGCGGATACCCCAGTGGCTCCAGCGATTGTCATTTCATCTCCTCCAACTTCACCCACTGTAGAAACGCATCAAGATGCAGATGATCGTACTGTAGAGCTTATTAAGCCTACCCCCGGCGTTTCAATTGACACGCCGACGGCCAGCACAAGTGAGCGAGAAGCAGGTGAGATATTCTCTCACCCGGTCTGGAACCAGTCAATTTCTCCCTTCTTACACTACTCTCTAGAAAACACCCCCGAAGGTGTTAGGCAAAGGCTTGCCGAATCCAACGCACGTAGCCGGCCCGGCAGCAGTGGCAATGACACACTCTCAACTAAGCATCAGCGGAATGTTATGCAAGCGTTCTGGAATATGATGCTTTTCGGGTGGCTTGGTAGCCTTGGTGGTTTATTCGGGTTTGGAAGACAGAAGAAACAAAAGCCTAGCAAGGCGGCGACTAAGGCGACGACTTCTTAAACGCAAACTCTGTGAGTAGGCGATATGATGGTCCATTTGTGACTGGGGTGTGTGTGCTTCTTTGTAGCATCTCCTTATATCCTTTTTCGTTCATCTAAATTTTACTAGCATTCGTGCTTTGACGTCTCTATGCGGGGAGAATTTCTTTTGTTCTTTTTCTTGATACCTTTCTTTAAATTTTACTTTTCTAAGTGTCCAGCTAGTATACGGTTCATTTGCGTCCGGGATTTAAAGGGCGTCTTTTTACTTGCAATTGATTTTCTTATGGTCTCAGTTTCTTATTGTTTTTTCTTTTTTAATTGGATGGTTGATGTCTCAGGCATGCGTTTAAATATTGCAAAGGGAATAATGTGCACTAGAGTGTGACTTTTAACCCTTACAGACGAATATTATTGCGGTATCTGGTCTATAGTATTGTACGCACTTGCTACAATACTGGTTCTATTCGACATCTAATATGGATCGTTGATACAGTAGCTGGTACTAAGTTTTTACAAGTCATATTGGGCGAGGTACATTTATGTTTAGGCAGGGGCCTCGGTGGAGAATAATAACCGAGTGATCCACCATGAGTCTAATTGGAAAAAATACCGGCTTGTACATTTTAGCGTAACAAATATTATTTATGAGAAAAAAGTATGTACTAGGTGTAGACTATGAAAAAGAGGATAAAGTAGGAAATAGTTTCGCGGAATCGGAAAACAAGTACATAGCTCGGAATTTCCGTCAGTGATTGAATATATTTTGTTTACCGCGGACATCCTGAAGAGCTTTATCACTTCGTCTGTCGAAGAATGCTACTCACCCTAGGGTGAAGGACTTTGCTCACATATCTCTTTATTTTTCTTATCAATTACTTAATCTTTACCTAAAATTGCGACCCTCTATTATAATAAGCTAATAAATAACATCAATAGACAAAGGGATATCTATATCTAGCGTGCGGGCATGAGAGTAAAGACACAGTCTCTTCTCGATACACTGAATACAAAGTGAGCCGCAGATATGTCTATATTCGGGTAGCTGGGATTTGGTGATTCCTAATATCTACAATTTCCATCCAAATCGGGCGAATTATATATCTGCTGTACCGAATAATTTGCTGTATGGAGCAGGGTTTTTTTTAGAATATGCAGGTTCGTTAGGACCGTTAGAGTACATACATGCGGTAGGCAACTGTTTCGATGAGTTCAATAGGCTGGTCTCTAGCTACATGTACATATATGTAGCTGCTATGGGTTCATTTGAGGCAAGCTCGGGGCTCCTTGGGCAATTGGACCATGCATGTCATGAACGTTTTGATACCGATTCGTAGGTAAAAATAACTGACTTAGAGTAAAGAACTCGGCATACCTACTTGTGTTAATTTCCTAATGATTGCTATTGCATATCATACAGAACATTGGGCTTGGCGCGCACATTTAGCAAATTTTCACGTGTGGTTTAGGGTTGTGAAGCGGGTAACTGCATACAGTATGTAAGCCGCTGAGTCAAGCTAGAGCCGATGCAAGGAAAGTTTAGATACTTCGCAACTTTCACACCGTCTCCTAGAGAAAACTTCCTACGATATCATATGAAACAAAATAATAGATACATCAACTTTAATTCCATCACACATACATAGCTATCAATCCGGACCTCAAATCTCAGCTTCTTTTTGAGAAAAAAGTCCTCATGTCTCTCCCACCATCCACAATTCGTATCAAGCGCAAGCTTGACGAAGCCCCTGTTCAAGCTCTCTGTAACTATCTCCTCTTTTTTATGTAGAAGACCTAAATTTTTCTGACCGCTCTGTATAGATGTCGACCGCTCAGAAACAAAACGTCAAAAAGTGAAGAAGGACTTTGTCTTCCGCCTTGCTCGTACCGTTACCTCACCTACAGATCCTACGCCGCAGCCTTTCCAACCACTGCACCGCCCACGTAATAGTCTCAGCGGGATCCCCCAAGTACGGAGTACACTCACTCCCGCCTCGCGGTCGAGGCCAGCTTCACCAAGCCTTGGTGTAGCTAGAACGTTGGTCTCAAGGACTCCATCTCCAGGCCATGGTATTGGTCCTCTCCCAGCCGGGTCAAAGTTGGCGCTCGACACGAGTGACGTAAGATCTTCACGGAAGTCGAAGTTTAAGGTTCCTTTGAGCGCTATTGCGAGGGCAGATTCCTACGAAAGTGTAAATAATGTCGAATCTCCAGCGACTATTGCATCTACCACTCCCATAGGCGAGAAAGGAAAGGTTCCAGCTATTGAACATTTAAAATCCTCAGATGATAATGAGGGCCCGGTTCGAAAAGGCACGTTTGGAGATGACAAAACACATTCCTTGTCAACAAGTCCACCACCTGAGAAAGGCGTTAAGACAGCGTCCTCCCCCTCAAGTACGACAGCAGGCAAGCGCAAGGCAGCGGCCGCAGTACGTAGATATCATTTGGCAAAACGACTACGAATAAAACATCCACATCCCTATTCGACTGCTGCAACACGCCGTAGTGCCATATTTGTCCGGGAGTCTTCAGAGCCAATTGACGAAGATGCTCCAATGGAAACACATACAGTGGAAGAGGAAAAACTAGCCGAGCAAAAAGAGAAGCCCGTCAAAATTCGGAAACGTCCGCGAACGCATCCAGAAGAGAAAAAAAGAATTGAGGAGGAGAAGCGAAAGCTTCAGCAGGAAAAAGAAAAGGAAGAGAAGGCCAAGAAACAAGAAACAAATACTAAGGTTAAATTCGAGGAGCAGTCGGGGTTGGATCCTCTTACTTTGGCTATGCAAAAAATGGTGTTTGAATATCTCAATTCAGAAAACAATGATGGTATTCGAAACCTTGTTGTTACTAATTCACCAAGGGGGGTACCTATGAAGAGCAAGATGCAGGACAAAATTGGAGGTGGCTTGGGGGGTGGTACCTGGAAAGATGTTGACAAGAAGGAGATTGATGAAGAGTTAGAAGATGAAGAAGGCTTCGTCTATGACGTCTATATCCGTGAGGAGGTCAAACCAGAGAATAGTAAGAAAGAGGGCGAAGATTATGGCCTTATTATGTGGGCAATTACATTTAATCCTTCTTCAATGACATGAGACTAACGTAATTAATATTATAGAATTAACGGAAGCGACGACGAAGAATGGTGGTATGAAGGGGATGACGACGTAGACAGTGATGATGTCTACGGCAGTGATGACGAGGATAGTAATGCAGAAGACTATCACACCAACGACTACCCCGAAGAACCAGCCTACGATTCTGATGATGCTGATGAGGTGGATGAATTTGGTGTCCTGGGCATTGATTCTGCTGATGATGGAGACGATGATGATTCCGATGATGGGGGTATCTTCAAGAGCTGGAATAAGCAGAAAAAGTTTGCAGATGAAGAGGAGTTTGACCTTGAGTATGATGAGGATGTTGACGCGGAAGCAGAAGATATGAGGCGTAAAATGGCAGGAATCTGGGGATACAGGGAAGGTGGAAGGGTTACAGGCGGAAGGGTCGTTAGTGGCGACGAGATGGAAGATTGATCCTGGAGGGGTCTGGGGTAAATCGATCGCCTCTCTCAAGGTTATGCTAATGTTCTTTAGGAGTTAAGAACATGAGTTAAAGGTGGGGTATTTTGCCCTTCTTGCTGTTTTAATCTGGCATAGGGCTTCTGCATCAGTATGTTACTATTTCGGTTTCTTGACACTTGTATAAACGCTTCCTTTTATTCCGATGAGCGCGATACCCTAAATATCGGCATAGATAAATCTAGCTAATCTAATGAAATAACTACATACCCTCCTTTCAAACCCCCATCGTTTGTGCTCTCCTCTGTTCCCAATGATTTCTACGCGCTGGGTACATGTAGTTTAAATATCTCAATGTTCCTCCGTGTTAGTTCTTGGCTCACTTGGAGCACACTATCGATAATATTCTGGAATTTGACACTTTTCCTTATAATTGAAGGAAACAACGTGAAAGACAGAAAATCCTACATAGAGGAGGAGTCTTGCCCTGGCTTCCTTCAATTATCGTTGCCATCCAAGAAAGACGGCAGGTCAGCTGGGTCTTGCAGCCAACCTAGAACTGCAAGTAAGGCCTGCTGCAGTTCCTCGGGAGTGGAAGGCAGTAGGTACTCTACTAGTATTTCTTTGACGTTTTTGAACTGGGCCATTATTGCATACACCCAAAATCATGAGCTTGGCGTATTTTTGTATGGCATGCAATATCAGTCGCGTCCACAAACGTCAGAGAAATACGAGTAGAGCAGAGTACCTACATACATACATGTAGTCTGTCCTCACAGACAGTGCACACGTGCACACGCGCATATCGCTTATCAAATCTACATGTATCGTCCTCTAGAATGATTTCGATCATTATTGGTACATGCCCTCTACTGCTGCATGCTGTGACACCCACCACTATCATAATACTCTATGCCAGGGTTTTTTCATCCCATCAACTTGATGGTCCCGGCCGCGGATCGGCAAGATCCATCAGATGTGCGAGCCATCCATCATGCGGTTGTGCCTGAGCGCCTTACTTACCCGGGTTTGCGTTCTACACGTATCGGAAAGACGTTCGTGATGCTCAAACGAAAAAAGTTTCAAGAGAAAAACATATGGCTCGAGAAGCTATGGGGGGGTAGGTGTGTAAACTTCGGCGTTTTTTTAAAGAATCGGCCAATCAAACCTATAGAAATTGGCCATAATGGTACTAGCGCCTAGACTAACCCTGGCATTTTCTCAGATTCCCATACAAACGAAATTCCTCTGAAGTTGACACACCCGCCCTCTAGGCCTTCTCGCGCCATACCTATCTTGCAAAAAAAAAAAAAAAAAAGGAAAGCTTTATCTTCTTATCCGTTAGTAACTGAGTGCTGTATGTGTTCGATTATTTACCGCTAACAATTCGTTTGCTGGGAACCCTGCAGGCTCTGCTGCGGCAAATTGATACTGGCTGTGCCGGTACCTACATGTAGAGCTAGCCTCTACCTACCCTACCAGTCTCCTCTCCAAATTCGTGTTGGAAGGGGCCCATCGCTTGGGAGTGCGACATGTGGCTTGCATCCACGGGAGGAGAAAGTTTGGATTCCTATTGGCTCAGCTTAAACCATGCGACCCACAGATCATCTAGAGTACATAGTAGCGGAAAATCCCAAGCACTGTTTAATTCCAGATATTAGAATGATGACAGGTACAAACATGTGCCGGAGATACCCCGCTACGTTCGCCTTGAATTAATCTATATTTCATGAATGATCACTTGGGCGTACGTTTCTAAGGCTGACGACGAGATAAGCAATATGTCCAGTAGAGTATAGTACCCGCTCCCTCCATGCGGATTAGAGCGGTGAAGCTTGCCGGTTAGAGAAAATTCCTGCCTAACTATGGCTCGAGAAGCTATGGTGGGTAGGTGTGTAAACTTTGGCGTTTGCAGCCAATCAATCTATAGAAATTGGGAGATCTACCCCCATAATGGTACTAGCGCCTAGCCTGACGGTGGAATTTTCTCTAATTCCCATACAAAAAAAGTTCCTCTGAAGTTGACACACCCACCCCCTATGCCTTCTCGCGCCATATATATTTGGATAGTATTGGTTGAGAAATGGCCCGGGCTAGTCTTCCCGACGCCCACAAGGCGAATGATCTCCGGAATAAAAAGAAAAAGGCAATCTGCCCATGGCCCGCAGGGGTTTTTTGGTTCGCAATTTCTCCGGCTACTACTGGTTTTGTTTGGGTGGCCGAACCTGATCCTTCGATCCCGGGGAGTTTTAGAAGTTTATATTTATAATCAGGCCTGTCAGTAGTTGGTCTCCTCGCATGCATGATCACTAGCAATGATTTTACTTCTAGGAATTAATCGATCATAGGGACCACGTCCCATGAAGGATAAGGAACTGTTATACATAATACTGAGGGTTTCCTGCAGCACACTGAATTTTCTTCAAACTCCCAATAAATGAATTATCAATCAATATAATTAATAACATGCCAGCGTTCGGACACAGGATGTCACTCGGAGGTCGCAAGTTCGTGATCGTATCCGGTTGCGTATTTGATCACAATTTCCACATTCGCTAGTCGTATATACAATCTCTTACACATTAAGGTCCGGTGATCTCTCGTACTTCCACCATACCGCCTTTATGCCATATTGATTGGAACGCCCTAGCTATACTAAAGATGTCATCTCATGGACCCTGGGATTAAGTTGACGGATATCACGAATAGGTTAATATTCAACTAGCGCGGTAAGCTCAAAGGAAAACAGAGTACCAATCTTTTTTGCGATTGTTTCAGAGCGAGAATATTAGTTTTGTTTTTCCTTGAAAAAGCTCAACTTTCAGCCTTGAAATCTTCAGCCTTGCTTTGATCTTACCCTCCGGCTTTTCAGTAACAAGCCCTCGTGGGCAAACTGCACCGTTCCTAGGATCCCAGATCACGATCCGTAGTGCATGATCAGATCAATTGCAATTGCGCGGTACCAGTTTACCGGCCCGCTGTAAATGCACAGGAAAAGGAAAGACTCAAGATAAGCGTTCCATGACATTTTCTTTTATATTAGAAAGAACTTTCCTAACATTGGTTTCAAGATCACAAATTCTACTCGCATTGGAGATCCAGAGTCTATGTGTATATTTTTCGGCCGAAAACATATTGGGGGCCGCGGCCGGTGTATCAAAGGATTCATGACGATTCGAATGCAATAGATTGGACATCAACCCTAGCATAGCCCCTAAAGATTTGGGTCAAAAAACCTGTTGATGTTCAAGTTGCCTCTCCCACGTTCAATTGAATCCCGGTTCTTTTCGATGATAAGAGCACGCCCGACATCATTGATCGATGGTGACACTTCATGGGGCAATCAATACGGTAGATTCCACAAGAGAAAAAACTTCTCATGAGGAGAACAAATGGTCGGACTGGTTGTGCGCAAGAGTCGTTATTGTTATTCGAGCGGGTTTACGGAGCTTCATATACGAAAATTTGCCTTTCTAGTGCGTTCATTCTACCGGCTTGACGTAGAGCTAGAGGGAGTAGTCAAGCTGTTGATTCTAGCGGTTTATGATCCACAACAATCGTAATCATAGGCGATAGGTTTTTTTTCCAGCGGCATATATCGAGCTCGGTCTTCGTCCTATCTCCTCAATTGCGTCTTTTACCCTGAACGTATATCAGGATGATTACATTATCCTATTGACCACCCAGAGAGATATACCTGATCAGCTGAGCGTTCTGCTTTGAATAACCAAGGTAATTCTAGATTACTACCTACCAAAGTTTGAGGCTGCAATGTCCGTGCAATAGATATGGGGAAGATAGGGCGCTATAGACGTACATCTTGGTAGAATTTGAAAGGAAGCTGGAGTGCAAACGTCTATCAATTGACCAATAATTAGACTACTATCGGCTGACCAATAAAAATCGTTAGAAACGTCTCTGATGGTGGCCAACTGCAGGTCAAACACTCTGATCGATCATCGATCTGGCTATAGCTAGTTACCAGGCAACTCGCCGGACGGGATGTGGAGACATAAACGTTCTCAATAGAACTACTGCAGTACTGACATTATGTGCCCTTGGAAATAAATCCTGCAACATATTTAGGCTTAAATTGAACTATCTACCACAACGTACCACCATCCAATTTTTTAAAGCCCTAATTTGTCGAGAAGGTTTATTACGCAACTCACTCTCTTTATTATCCCTTGACTGACTCTTTGTGATATCGACTAATAATTCGAAAGTGGCATGCCATGCATATTGTCTTTTGGACCAAGACCCACGAGCACTTCCCGCGCATTAGTTTGCAAATCTCTTTGGATCATAAGCTCTCAATTGGAATATGGAGAAGTACCAAACAAGAGTACCAAACAAGGATACGTATACATGTATGCCTTACATGCCTTATACAAGGCTACATGTGATCAATTGGCCTCGACAAAGAACTCTCTTTTTACATGAATACCAGTCCTCAAAAAAATCTTCTTACATCGAAGGATACTTCCTACACTTTACGGTTACCAATAAACGAAACTCACTCGACATACTCATTTAATTGCAAGGCAGACTTGCCTCGAGGACACCTCCTGAAGCATGAACCTTCTGGACAAGATTGTGTTGCGTACGAAGGTATTGGTCGCCCTAATTTATTTTAGAAAATGGTAACATTTCTTTTATTGTAGTCCGTATGCTTGCTAATCGACTGCATCGGTTTTTCTCTGTGCACCTTACGCCAAATTCTTGTTGAATTACTCAGTCAAAGTTTTCTACATCTCTTTGGAAGCCTAGCGCGCGCCGAATCGGGTTATCTACTGAAAATCACTTCGATGATCAAGCGATTTTTCTTTTATGGCAACTTCCGCCCTCAACCCATGGATAGCATATTCTCGGGGAAAAGTGCACGACAGCCCTGAGAATTAGGTTTCTGGAATCTGCACGGCGCTATATGTCGTCTAGCCCCGAGGTGTACTTAACTTTAGCTCATAAGTCACGCCGCATTGAGTACCAAACGCCAGAAGGATATTTTTGCTTTTGTTTAACAACTTTCGGCAGAGAAGCCATCTAGAATCAAATAGAAGTGAGGCTAATCGATAGTCTAGCGTGGTGTGCTGCGTTCACATAGGACCATTTCTTTCTAGATCCCTCGCCGAGCCGCGGGTGTAGGGATCCAAGGCTCTGGAAGGAAGTTCGTTGTATGCAAAATGGAGTATGCATACAATGCATATAAACGGACACGAAACGGACACGATTCCTAGATATCAGAAAACGTCTACATATCTGCAAGATTAAATCCTAGCTATATGCGCTGGATCCAAAAGAAATCTATATTTGCAGGTAAGATTTTTGGAGGTTTATCCTGCACCGCAGTAACATCAGCTGAACTAACTATACTTTATGCATACGCTGCTGATCTGAATCTCAAAATTTCTTTTTCCCTCCCTGCTTTCCCATCAATTCTCCGAGCAGCGCCCGCAGGATGCAGCGCATAAGAGGCCTAGGCACACAGCCATTATACTTCTGGCAGACGTGCTTGTATGTACGTACAGATAACTACTCTACAAGGCAGCAAGCTTTATGTAGTTTCACGGTATACTCTGCATCGTGGTCATGTATGTATGTATCATGAATGTATTTCCAAAACTGACACAGCCCAGCCCGTTTTACAAAGAAAAAAAAAGGAAACACATAATGCTTGTTCTAGGCCCCGAACAACCGAAGCTACATGCCAGTAGAGTATACAAGATGGTTCGTCCCCACTGGCATTTATGAAAACCAATACTATCCAACAAACGAAATAATTTGCATCGAGGAATCTCTCAAAATGAAATAAAGAAAAACAGGGAATTCTTTCGAAAAAAGTCATCATTAAAAGATCATAAGATTCGTTTGAAATGAACAAAAGAAAAAAGTCATCCAAACCTGCAAATAGCCCTCGATTTTCAACATTTAAGCTTGTAATAGGTCTGGGCTGTTCATTCATGTCTGAGGACGGGGGTGATATTCAAATATGGGTGGCCATTGGGGCGGGTAAATGCGAGCAAGGCAGGCTGCACATCGTTCGATTCAAGTATAAATCTTTCCATAGGAGTGTAAAGCTTATCTTTCGGAGTGGGTTGGGTGAATGAGTTCGAGGTGGTATCGTTGGGCGCACTCTCAAACCCTCGATAAAAGTCCTCAATGGATATAGTGGCTCGAGATTGATATTCGATTGTGGGAGAGCACGTGCAAGACATATTGGAAGTTGACATCGGAGGCTGGCGTGGATTGCAGCACTTTCCCTGTGGGGGAGCTCTCAAGTTTGATTGTGGAGTATGTGCACCATACTTGTTGGGGTTGAGGGTAGTGAGCTTGATTGACTACATTGAATTAGCACGAGTACAAATAAGGGCTACAGAAATATTGAAATAAAATCTTATAACATACATCATTGTTTTCACCAGTGTTGAGGACTGTGCTCTGATACATGGTACTGCTACTGTAAAGACCGGTTAGATAAGGGAATTGAGATATGTAACAAAGATCATTTTTGCTGAGTTTGGCTTACCTTCCGCATCCAATATACACCATACTATTCTGAGGGGTGGTTTGGTTGTTGGGGAAAGACATTTTGAGTTATTTATGCTATATAAGATGTATATAGCCAAGGATGTGTTGCTGAATGTTATACTTACTTACAGTATATCTCTAAACTCTGGGAAAAGAACCTGACTTAAAAGCGCTTTCTCTGAATGCAGAACACTATAGTACAAGGCTGTAAATCCTAGGTTATTGCGGATGTAATTCAGACTACATGCCAGCGCATAAAGCCCATACTGCCCAAAACCTACAGCGACAAGGCGGTTTCGCTAGTCAATAATTTTTTTTTCTTTCTAAAATCTTGTCAAATGGCACGCGCACCTCGAAAAGAATATACGCAGTATGGCATTGGAGAGATATCAAGTATGCAATATGTGTATTGTAATGCATGCAAAGCATAGAGCTAGTTAAGCAGCCTAGTGATTGATCTAATGAACTCCATACAATGATTCTAGTATCTTTTCATCGATTTGCATGCTATTATCGTGATCTAGAAGAAGCATACATACGTATACATTTAAATATACTGGCCTATAGCTATCCATAAAGGGTACATATATGTTAATTGAGTGAATATTCTTCACATGAAGCCCGGGTCCTATGGAGAAGCAGAACTCAAGGCACAAACCGAAGCACCCATGGTCAATTTTATCGCTATAATGTGAGAAGTGCAACTCCTTATATTCGGAAGTAATCTAGGGTCATAGCCATGGGGTATCTAAACCTAGCCTCTTGATAAATCTGGTTTTCAATTGCTAGTGCAAGTTTCTTTCCTAGATTTCGCATTACACCGTTGTAAGTGAAGTGTAGGTGAAATATAGGCGAAGTGTAGGTTTTAAAAAATCTCCGGCCTCGATCAAAGTAGGCCGGCTGAAATTGCCCATAATTATAGAAATACCAATTGATATGGTGGAGTACTACAAGCACATAATGGAGTTAGGACGGAGTGAACACTGGTGGTCCCTGTTTTACATTATTCTTGAAAAGTTCGTACGCGTGCGGCTTAGCTAGATGTTCCAATTAGTGAATTTATTAACGTCTGAAAACCCCTAGTGCGCCCTGTGTGTTTATGTGGTCATTTCTAATTAGGGGCCCCAAGATTAAAACACCCCTGGCATATTATTCAATCCAAGGAGAAAATTTTCACCTCTACTTTCTTTTTCTCAGGAGAGTTCGCCTTAATATGCATCGGAATATAGTAGGGACAAATGATATGTCCTGTGAGTGATAATATATCAGATGAACCGGCCGATAGCCCCAACAATAGGAACCTGATACAAAGAGTACATGTATCAGTGGACTCAACAATTCTCGGCCGATGATAATTATTACATGAATGAAAACATGATTAGTTTAATAAGTATATGAAGTAAAGTATTGGGGTTGATGCTATATTATACTACATAGGCCTCCTCATACCAATAGGCTATTTTTCAAAATCTGTTCCTCCGGCCTGAGTGCCATTGAGTACTCAAGTGTCCATACTGCCGAAAACAGCAGCCAGTACAGCTTGTCAGCCTAGACAAATAGAATATATACTATAAGAGTACGAGTGCATATGTATATATGTATCTTAATATAAGGGTTCCGGGGAAGAGAGACAAAGAGCATATATCGACGGCCAGCTGCAGGTAGCGTATCTGCGAGCTTGCCAAATGAATCTAGATATTATGAGATCGATCACTACGATTGAAAAGGGTACACATAAAAGAAAAAACGCCTAATCTAATGATCTTTAAAGCGCGGCAAATTTTGAACCGCCCGGATGCCCCATATTTGAATGTAAAAGGTGCTGTTAACTGGTACGTAGCTTAGTCGAATCCCGGGATTTCATTTAACGTTGAGGTTCTGCGCAATTGGCCACTCAGGTACAAGGTACTGGCTGCGGCTGCACCACCGAGAGACCTACATGTACGCATGTACTCTATACCCAGGTGCATGTACATACAATCTCGCTGGCGATTGAATTCATGCGATTCAGGGCGAGACATGGCAGGGAACAGCGACACTCTATGCATTGACGTGATGGCGCAGTGGTGCAATTCATGAATTTTTCTAGATCGACCTATACAGAATATCGCGCTTGGTCCGGTGGCATAAAAATGAAGATTGAATGGCTCGCGAATCGTGGACCCACTTTTTTGTCCTGTGCCGACGAGCACAAAATGTTTTGGTTCAAACAGAGGTTGAGCTTGCGGGAATCGGGGATGATGGGAAGGCACCAGTCTTTATCATGACCCAATGTAAATCCAAACAAACACATAACTCATAGAATACATATCTATCTAGCTTAAGACGAAATATTCCTCCATTTTCAGGTACTAAACCATAGAACACCCCAGTTATTCAGTAGATACATATATACGTTAAGCCTACTTTGTGAGATTAAAAGGTACGTGTGGCTTTGAAAGTTATCTCTCTGATTTTGGACCTGTAGTGTTTCATGAACCTATAGTCGCTTGCGCCCTAGAACATCACATAGATTTACCATTACAATTGAGATACATCTGAAAGCCTGTAGATTTACTCTGTAAATGCAACTATGTATTTCTATTATCCCTTAGGCGGTCAGTCCGAATCACAACCGTGACCGAACCTGATATGGTAACTGTGCTCTGTTGAACACACTTAGTGTTCATATACTGATCCCCGAGCCGGTGAAGCTTAGTAAACTAAGTGCGCTCAACAGAACACAGTTACCATATCAGACCCGGTCACGGGTTGTGATTCGGACTGACTGCCTAAGGGATATCTGCGCAAGCTCAAGTGCAGCTAGCCGCATATGATTAAGGAGCCATCATGACCCAGCACGGAAATAACTTTAATCTTATTCTACTAGAGCCTACTCGAAGTATTTAGTAGAATGCGCGGCTCACGCCGCACATGGGCAAACAAAACATTTCAAATTATCATTGACTACACTGACTAAGACCGTGTAGCTTACAAAATTAGCGCTCGTGCACTAAGCCTTATCAGGATAGTATGAATCACTCTTAAAGATTAGGAATAATTACTACTGGTATTAGGAAATACAGTACTCTATCATCACGCGCGACTAGGCTGCTAACGTACTGAATAATGCCATCGCATCTATCTCCAACATACATGTATATTATTGGGCTATAATATATCTACTATCTTTTACCGTTCACCTTAATTCTTCCGCTAGCAGATATTCACACTCGATCCCTAATAGATTAATTAAGCAGTAGCTTCGCGTTGGATAAAAAACCGAATACGCAGTCTAAGTACACGCTCAAAACCAGGAGCACCACGTCGCAATGCACAGGTAGACACAAACATCTGGGGCCGGTTCTGGTGATATAGCAGGCCATCAGGAATGCTTTTTTTCTTTTTCTTTTTAAATTTTAGGATGCGGATATATAGGGGATGACAGATGCCTACGAAAATGCGCATGCAATCTCGACACCCCCGGTGTACTGGCTTTATGGCTTTTCGAGCCGTAAAAGGTACCTGTGCATGTGTAAATACATGTGGCAACGCAACAAGGCCTCACCAGTTCGCTACCGTGCTCTACCCGAGCCTTTAATTGATGGGAAAAATGGCTAAAAAATTAATTCTGGGCCCGCGTCTCATCAAGGCTTCCTAAACTTTAAGAAGTTTTGGAGTTTGTCGGTTGCGAGGTTCTAGTTTTACAAGATCCCAGTACTACATGTCCTTGTAGTAGTAGAGCTTATCCCGGGTCGCGAATATAATGTTTCTGGCTATTCCCAGACCAGCTGTTCAACTGCCATGCATGATACACTCTTTGATGGGCTGACAAGCAGTATGCTAATTGAGAAAGAAAAAAAGAAACTCGTATCTCCATCACAAAAGAAAAACCACAGAGACGGATAATTTTAGGTTCATGAGAACGAAAGGTCCTATTTCAACAGCATGGATGCGTTTACATGTTACTAGGGCGGTGACATCGAAATGTTTAACCCACCCGCCTCCTCCTTCAACGCAATAATACAGGCTTGTTCCTCACGCCCCTCTGACAAAAATCTTGCCAAAGGCTTAACCTCCGAGAACGGGGTTTTAACTGGTAACTTGTTTTTATACTCAGGGTCCAGTAAAGCGTCTATATCGTCTAGGAATTGTGCATTTTGAAGTACTCGTGAGAGTGTGTAGTCTCTGGAGTTTGAGAGCTCTGACTCTTGGAGGGGGTTCGAGGATTTGGATGAATCGACTAGGTTTAATTCCCCTTCTTTTGCTGGAGCCTTTAACATTGTTAGCCTTTTCTTGATTTGGTAAGAGCGACTATACCGCCAAAACCAACCTCTTTAGATTTCCATCTTTCAACTCTAATGAAGACTCTTGATGATTGGCGGGAGTCAGTTCGTTGACTGGCAGGCCTACGGGTGCTAGCACGGTATTATGTTAGTAATTAATGTATAGGCTTCATTGCCATTAACATGCTATAGATAGAAAGTAAGAAGAACTCGGAAGGTGTATGTGGAATATTACCTTTTAGACTTGTCGCTATGGGCTTTGAGGGAAGACGTGGTCATTATTGCGGTAATTTGATATTATGATCTTTGAGGAACTTCGAATGATAATCGTCGTAGCTTAGTTTGAATGAGAGTATGGAAAATAAGATGTCGGGGAGTTTGAGAAGATATGTGATTTATATCAGGCTAGATCTTGGAGTAATTGATAGAAGGCATCAAGATCTAGAGTTGTATATGATTGGAGCCGAACTAATCATGAGGTTTATGTACGTGCATGTAGTATATAGTGGGAAGCAAGAAGCTTAGAGAGTGCATGTAGCCCGCGCGGATGTCCTGTCGGACGCCTAGGTTAGTGGGTTACTTGTAGTACGAAAAAGATATAAAAACTTTAAGCAGCAAAAAAACAAAGTGAAAAGAATAAACTAAATGGGATGAAGCCCCTGTGCCGCAACACCCAGACTACCGCTTACCGCATTGAAACGATATATCCTTGGTCTTAGACTCGCCCATGACAGGTCTGATTTTTATGAATCTGGTAAAATTCCCAAAGAAGCACACGCTGTTTTAGACCTGGTCACGTGATGGCATTCTCGGATTTCCGTTGATGAAGTCCTCAACAGACCCCGAGCTTCACATCCTTTGCATAGACTACTTGACCCTAGTGGGAGTCAAACATCTGGATATTGAAGTGCAAGTCTATTGGTGGTTACACTTGTTGAGGGGTTGCACTCGCTGGCCCGGACTGAGTGCTGTATGCAAATACTAGACACAGTTGCAGTGATGTGGTTGCGCGCTTATTATGCACCGCGTCTAACAGTGGCTAACACACGCAACACTGCTGTTAACTGAGTGCATATTGCGCTTAAATGTCTCACACAGGCGGACAGTGCGCTTATCATGTAAGTACACTGAGGCAAGATGGTGGCTGAGCGATATTTTCACCCGTACTCTGCATGCACCGCTCAGGTGAAACCCACTACAATTGCCCAACCCGGGATACATCTCCAGTGCTCCAGAAATCAAGGGCGTAAGATGCCTCTCCCAAGATGATCGTGACCGATGGCTCAAGACCATAGTATGGCTGATGCCATTTCTCTCCCGCCGGCCATTTTTACGGATTCGGTGATGGAGATAAGGCATACCATCCATCAAATATGGAAAATACCGCGCAAGGCACACACTGGTAGCGAGAACTGGGGCTTTTTCCCTTCAGAAGTTCGGCAAACTTGATAGCCTCAGATTTATGGTCCAGAACCTGGTAGGCGTGGATGGAGCGGTGGATACATGCACACACCCAGTAAAATATGTAAAGATATGGATAGACGCGTAAATGCCAATTGCGTGGGGGAGGGGGAGAACCGGAGATGAGGAACCAAAATAGCTATTCTAGCGGTCAGTTGTAAACCCCATAGCTGAATCTCTGTGGGTATATATTTCATAGAATATTATTGTAAACACAGAAGTCTTGATTTTTTTTTGTGCTTAAGACCACTAGGTATCGGATATCAGGTTTACATTCTTCGGCTTCTTTCATCAGCTTGAGCGTCTTCGTCCCGCAGTCCGCTGTCAGTCCTTTGTAAGTTGCTTTGGGCGATAGTTGCATCGGGTCTTCTTCCCTTCCCAGCTTGCAAGGCTCACTTTTGATACAACCATTTCGCTGATTAAGTTCTGCCGATTTTCTTGGGACCTGACTTAATGTCCCAGTGCCTGAGTTTTCAGAACGATGGAGTGGGCAATTTTAAGGCTTATGGTCATTACCAAATGCGATTTCCCAGGCGCCCGGTCCACTATCTGCCCCCCTGGCAGTTAGCCTAGCTTCCCCAGCAAAAGAAACCCGCCCGCGCAAGCAAATGAACCATGAAGCTTACATGTCTCGCTCTCCTTATATTTCGGTAGATGGAATGGACGGGTTATCCCCACTAGATACGTACTCTAGCTGTCTGTTCAGATTTTAATTACATATAGTTGAGATCTTGCGCCCATAGCCACGGGTGGTAGTTCTTGACGGACGTACGGAGACTCCTAAAACGATAGGTAAGTGTAACCAGTACGTACCTCGAACCAATAACAGCCTCAAGGGATCTTTCTCTTTAGCTAAACTCAGGCAGAGTGGGAGAAGGGATGGGGGCATCCAATTTCCAGGTTTGAATTCGAATTCCGACATCGGTACTAAATGCGGATCATAGAACGACATCAAAGGGGTACTCCGATGTCGGAATATTGTCTCGTTTACACGGCCCGTGCCGATATTATATCTTTTGCTTTATTTATTTTTTTGCCCTGCCCTACGGGATGCACTCGTGTGGGGAAATTAAGAGACTGCTACCAATGGAGTAGTTAGTGAATCGCTGGGACTATATGTAGTCTCAGATGAAGCTGTCAAAGGCAAGTTTAGGAGTGTAGATTCGCGGATGGGTTCGCGCTTATCTGGCAGGTAAGTAGGTAGTTGGTCAAGGGTTACCACTTTTGTCTGAGATTTGTAGAACGAAGGACTCAGTTGACATATCAGCAACTACCGTTATCTTGAGCCCAACATCATTGGCAAGGCCGTACTCGGACAACTGTTCTCTTGGTAATCTTTCTACATTTAATACGTTCCCGCCTGACCGGTTGTACATACGTTCAGGGAACGAATAATACGGCGGAATTCAGACTGGTTGTGATGAGGAGAAATGTGATAGAAAAAAAGTGACGCAGAAAAACGGTTCGGTCTCTGCGTAAGACATTTACACGATATCTCTTTCAATGTTAGTGAATGTGTAGGCTGTTAACTCAGAGGAGTTTCGATTAATTGAATTAAGGTTATACATGTATTTCTTACATATATAAATTAAACAACTAAACATTTACACTGCTAAAAACCACAGCCTCGTGCGCAGTTCTGCACCCGTTAGAAAGTAGGGACCAAAAAATGAAATTCCCTATTAATTTATAAATACATGTATGTAGATATATGTACATAGTGTGATCATCTCAAGTTATAGCTAGTGTGTCATGTTATTTTTGGTTGACACCCCCTGATCATGATATGCAAAAGTTCATGATACTGTAGTTAAAAAAGTTCTTGTGGCGTTTGTGAGCTTTTACTCCTGCTTATGAAATGCATGTATGGTGCAAGAGGGAGTAGAGGGCGACCCCATCAATCCTATACACACCACTTCAGTCAATCCCTCCATTGGCCCCGGGAAGCAAACATTGAGGAGCCTTACCTTTGACTCGACTTTATGGCTGTAAGGGCTACAATACTGAACTGGTGTGAACAGGGATGACAAGGTCGCCCCCCCCCCCCCCCCCAAAGGCCTCTCGCACCATACTATATTTCTGGATCTGGGCCACGGGGTAGATTCCTTTTGGGGCTTGCCTATCTGCGGTCAGGCTATAATGTACCCCGCTATCATGCCAGATAATTGAGCCTCTAGATGTACGAGACATTGGGGGTTGAGATTGATACTACGTAGGTACATATCATATTAGTAAAATCTACGTACTTCAGGTCTATTGGCCATGCATAGATATATGGCGCGAGAAGGCATAGGGGGTGGGTGTGTCAACTTCAGAGGAACAAATTCCACCATTAGGCTAGGCGCTAGTACATATAGTACCATTAGGGGAGTAGATCTCCCAATTTCTATAGGTTGATTGGCTGCAAACGCCGAAGTTTACACCCACAGCTTCTCGAGCCATCTAAGCTGGCTTGCGTGCAGGATCTCAGCCATAATTTGATTTTTAATGTAAGCAGCTCTAGATTAACTTTACTCAAAGTATCTATGTACTTAATTCAAACAGGTGTGAGAATTCATCGTGAGAATAAGTTAGGGGTACATCGTACCCCTAGATCCAGCAGCAAGGTACCTCCCCAAACCTTTTAATCGCGTGCACTCCGCCTCTTTTTCTTGTTTATTTCTTTTTTTTCTCTTTTTTTTCTTTTGCGAGCTGGAGTTCGGTTCCCCGGTTCTGATACGGATCAGGAACTTCTCGTCATGGCTGGATCCATGATATAGCTGCTTCGTTTCTTGTCCAAATTTAAGAAATCAATCCTCCGAGTAAGACTGCACATCTGCTCATTCTCCTACCCTCAATTTCGACCCGATAGGCCCCCGGAGGTATAAACGTTCCATTGATGGTTTAAGCTACACGGCGATTCCCGAGATCGATAAGTTTATTTGAGCCCCAAGCAACCCTTTAGGAAACAATGTTCCCTAACTCCAACTAAATTGGGTAAACGAAGGCTAATATGGGGTTTCTGTAGCACTTTATCTTTCCGGTCCCTGGATTAGAAACGTAAAACTTCCGGTGTTGTACAGGATGAGGGGGAGCTGACCATCGACTGGATCATGCTGGAAGTCTGTAGAGGGGAGTGGAGAGGGGGAGATGTGTATATAAATATACCCTCTTACCCTCTTGTTTTTCTCCACTTCTTCAATATCCCCAGAGCAGAATATCACTAGTAGTATAATTAGCAATATTCAAACGAAATACCCCATTATGACCCCGTCCGTCCCCATAAGCGACTTCACTCTACACGCTGGAACCTCCCAAACACCCGTATGGACACAGAGCATCCCCTTCACCCTCACTGCCACAGCCGTGACGGACCTCTGGCGCAAACCAGGGCATATTGCTCATGAAATCAATAGTATCACGACCTCTATGCCGCTCTCTTCATTCGCCCGTGCTACGGCAACCTTCCGTACGGAAGCCTTCCACACACTTTACGATCAGGCCGGGCTCGTGTTCTTGTTTCCACCGCGTGAGGATGGACACCCGGAGCGGTGGGTTAAGGCGGGAGTAGAAGTCGTAGGGGGGGTGCCGAGGGTCTCGGTGGTAGCTGCCGATAAGGCGTCCTGGGCAGACTGGTCACTTGCGGGGGGAGACGAGGGAGTAAAGAAGGATACAATGACGTTGGAGATCGTGAGAGAAGGGCCAAGTTTGGTAATGAACATGGTGGGCAAGGGAGAGGAGAGGAGTGCAGTGAGGGAGGTGGCTTGGGTTTTCGAAGGTGGATTGGTGAGCGAGGGGCCCGAAATTAGTGTGGGAGTATACGTAGCAAAGCCCACGAAGGATGAGGGGTCTCCAATATTGGAGGTGTGTTTTGAGGCGATGAAGGTGTGGAAGATTGGCCCCGATGGAGAGGAGATCGTGTAATCTACTCATTTTCAATGGAAGAGCGGCGGCACACAGCCCATTACCCTTACGGTTTTGCAATTGTCTAAAAGTAAGATTTCAATGTAGCGTAATCTTGCCCTTCGTTGATCGTTAATAAGTCAGTGATATACCGTAGATGCGATGAAATTTCGTGTTCTTTAGTGATCCTCTTAGGCAAGTTGTTTTAGCCGCCAGTGAACATGAAAATGAATCCGTGGAGCTGAATATGTCAGTGGCAAGGTCAGGGAGGAGATTTATACCAACCCGTAACGTTATGCATATATATATGAGATTTAAAATGGCGTAGTATTGTCATTCTAAAGCTAATCACATTCCCGAAAAAAATGGCTGTCTGCACATGTGTCTGCGCAGGTATTCTTATTCTATAATGCTGGCTAGAAACAAAGCTAAGGCTACGTTATAGGACAATGTAGCAGGGCTCAAACTGAAGATAACAAGGCTGGTAAGAAGAAGGAGAAAGCATAACCAAACCAGCCAACAAACAAATCAACTCCACAATTGCAAGACTGGATATAAAGTAAAGAAATAACGGATCAAGAAACAATACAAGAAGAGTAAATAAGATAACAAGTACGGGGACCATAATTACCAAAAATCAGTCAAGCAATCAATCAACGCAAGAATGGAGAGAAAGAAAAGATTAACATTCCTCATGCAGGTAAAAAGAGAAAAGGAAAAAAAAGAGAAATACCAGTGGAATCCCTCAAACGTCTGAAAGCTCCGGTTCCAATATCAAGTTGTAAAGAAGAAAAGCAAAGTAGAAGGTTACTAAAAAGTCATAAAGAACAAACTTGCGGTGTAACTTAAGGACGAGTAAAAAGGAGGAATAACCTGAAAGCAAAAATATATAGCCCAATCAAGTCATGTCAAATCCATCCAACTCATGACTTCTAGTACCTGTCTTATCCCCCTAATAGATCTCCAATCCCTCAAACTCAACTACCAACTCCTCCAATGGCCTACCACTCACAAAATTTGCTGGACGACTTGCATACACTCCCACCCTGATGCTCTTTTCGTCCACCCCCCAGAAGAACCACGTCACCTCCCTTAACTTCTTCCACTCCAAACCATCATCAAACCACACCCACAGCGCCTGGTCGACCTTCTCGAACCTAACCTTCAACTCGTTCACACCTTCTGGTAACTCTACTAGTGACCAATCCGCGCCATCTGAGGATGCAGATACAGACGATGCCGTTGTACGGTTATCGTAGTATTCAATCCCTGCCTTGACCCACTTACCAGCTGGCGGGGGTCCGCTATTAGGAGCTGCAGACGCGGATGTAGTAGTAGGTGTGGGGCCAGCGAAGATTACGAGCCCGCCTTGGTCCCATTCAAAGGCGGAAGTGAGACGAAGATGAACCGTTACTTCAGCACGAAAGAAGTGGGCGGGGGAACGGGTGTAGAGGACAGGGGCGGTGAAAGTGTCTCGGGAGGGTTTACGCCAGAGGTCCGTACCGGATCTAGAGGATATTAGGTCAACGGTGATTAAAAGAAGTGGTGAGAGATCCTACCGTGCTTTAAGAGTGAAGTTACCAAGCCAGGGAGGGACTTCAACGTTTGCAGGCGCGTTGAAGTACTTGAAAGAGGAGCTGTCCGGAGGCATAACGGTTTGCTTGCTCTATATCGCAGTAGCAATAGTAGTAAAAATAGTAATAATAGTGATGAATGGAAATTATTCTAACAGAACAATTCTAGACTTTTCGACCCGATCCTTCTTTTATCTATTTTTGAAAAGGGGGTTAAAGTGGCAAAATATGCAGGAAATTATCCACAAGAGCCTGGCTGGCTACTGGCAGTTGTGCTTTAGAACGGCGACGACGTCGGGACCTGCTCATAAACCGGCCCGCGGTGGTAATGTTGAAGCGCGCCGGAAATGACAGACTGGTTGGCTTTTGGTGGTGGGCTTGCTTGCTCCCCTCAAACAGCAGTAATGATAGCTACGTATACGCAGGAATGAATGAATGAACGAACGACTTCGTCACAGACCGGACGATACGGTTGAAGGTGGGGGGACAAAGGAAGTGATAGAGTAGATAGAGAGAGGGGGATAAAGGCCTAGAATAGGTAAGATGCCAACTTGTCAGCGGGGAAGTATTTGGATTGTTTTCTTTTTCTTGTGCTTTTCTTTTCCTTCTTGAGAAGTGATGGTTCGGAAAGTTAGAGCTATCTCGCGTGCTTCTTCTCTTTCCCTAATTCATGGGACTAGAAGGTAATTTTTCTTTTTTTCCCTTTTTTTTTTTTTTTTTTTTTCTTTCCCACGCCTGTGCAGTATGCAGATCCTTTTGGTGTGAGATCTGATGGAAATATTTAAATCGCGACCCCCAATCATCGAGGCAGACAGACTCTCTGACTGTAGGCAGTGAACAGCAGCGAAATTTCTGAGGATCTGTCACAGGGATTTGGATGATCCCATCCCGAAATATATAGTCGCTGCCTTTCCCTGTATCCGTGGCACGAGGGGGACAGAAAAGAGGACGATGAGGTCCCTGAAAAATAGCCAAAGTCCCCAGAGAGCAACAACTACCACCTTGATATCCGCTTTCAATTAAGAAACATAGTTACATACCTTGGCTATTGTAACAGTTTAATTTGATTCTAAATCTGATTCTATCTCCGTTTTCATTCTTCCCAACTTCCTCAGGACTAACTATTCCGCTTACTCTGCCGCACGAGTTTCCAAGTGGTGGAGTCCTATCGAACGAATATGACGCGGGGTGTGGCACAAGTTTTTGCCTACGTGGCACCTTTTAAATTTGTATTAAAAACGTGATGGGATGGAGGACTCCAAAGAGGTGTAACCGTGTCGAACGTAGGGCTGGCAGTGCGTGCAGTTGGTTTTCTTTGTTTTTCTCTAGAGCAGAAGGGTCAAGTAAGTAAGTAATCTTTTTGCTTCTCCGTTCTCCTTCCTTCTTTTCTCCTGGATGTATTGTGGCTGAAACCTGCGAACTACGGAGCTGGAGATGTGCAGTAGAGTTAGTTGCAGAGAGAGTTGAGGGCGATCGGTACGTTGCTCGCATTACAAAGCCTTTGTAAAATTTAAACGCAAGTACCTAAGATCAGTTGGTTTATCTTATCTTATCATTAGAACCACGAACCTCAATAGATTAGTTCGGCTGACATGGTCCAACACCGGTCCAGGCTGCACACAGAGTGCCCAGTCAGCATGGGAAAATGATTTTTGAGATAAACCGCCCGGTGATCCTACGAAAATTGATGTATATACCCACAGAGCTGGATGAAACTGAGGGGGTTTTCAAAAGTAAACTAAGAGTCAAATTTATGTAGTTTAAATTGTGCGCTATACGTTGGTGATGATTATCGGTAACAAAAGAAAGCAAGAATATATGGTTTTAGATCCATTCAAGAAGAAACGTATACCACGACAATCGAATCGCTAGGCGTTACCGTGACTGGTCTTACTATGCGTATGCAATTCTAGTTAGAACCCACTAAGGCGAACAATCCTATTGAATGAAAGACGGGGTTATCTTGATACGCGGGAATCCTGATACGTATCTCAAACAATTCACTTATCACCGACTCGAGTACTTACATGCAAGTACCAACAAGCAAGTACTCCACATGTATCTACATGTGCATAAGTCGTTATTCGGTATCTTATTATCCACCGCGGTGAATATTATTTCTCCCAGGCCCGTTCCCAATTTATCTGTCTCTGATGACGCATTCCGATATTTACGTGTGCTTTACAAGATGTAAATACTTACCTACATAGACATGATGCTGCATTATGACAGCCATTTTGAGTACATACGTGATGTGTTAGGTTATATCGACCACACCTTTCACCCTAAGCTAGAGCCGGCTGGTTAGCCTCCCGAAGACAAAACACATCATACAACTCGACGACTGGGTTAATTAAACTGCAATGCATATAATCTATTCTCAATCTCGTTGACACAACCCTCCACCCCCTCAGACCTAACAACGAAGGCCTAACAGGTCTAGGAGAAATCTTTTACTATGATACATACAGTCAACATTCGAGATGAGAGGATAGAAACCCAGGAAGTCCGTGATAAGGTGTACATACAAGTATATCTAAGCTAGCGCTACAGTCTATGCTAATATTCCTCACGACAAAGAAAAGACCATATATATATCTACTAGAGTTAGGAACAGATAGTATAATACCTCAAGCTTTACCATCTAGCGCTTGAGTGAAATATCGACACAGCAGGCGCTCACTGTCATTTTAAGAAATTTAACTGCTGTCTTTTACCCGACAAGATGATATGTTAACAGCCAAGCTATCAATGCTAAATTTAAACTTAATTCCTATTGGCCAGCTACACCCGGGTGAGTACTCGGGGCAGGTAAGAAGAACCTGAAAATGACTTTTGATGGTAACGACCTCTGATTCGCGGCTGGTGAAAAGCTACACCAAATTGAGCCCCTGCTTGCAGCTTGCATTTTCATGTTCTTATTGCCTGCCCCGAGTAAGGGTAGCATGTCAAAATACCTGGTTCAAATAACAAGGCCCTTCATTGGCAGTGATATTCTCTTCCCATGGTTCGATGGCCTAGGCGCCGGGATACCTCACCTTACACAGATTCTCCTACCCCGCATTCACTCGCTGGTACTATCTGCCCTACTACATGTACCTGCGTGCGGTCGGGGCTTGCGTGCTTCCGCTCTCGCGCAAAAGAAACCATACCACACGCGATCCAAGACAAGGGAAGCGGTGCAGGTGGAACATTACCCTTGCCATATTCCGAATTTTAACTGGCACCTAGGAGATTGAAAGCATACCCTGCATCTATGGCCGCCTGGAACGTGTTAAGATGTCACCAGTAACTAGGATTGCTGACGGTAAAAGTATATACAACCTTCAATTTCTATGGATGGCTACTTGGAAAATCAAAAAGACAACACCGGCTCTATCCGAATACGCGTGAGCGTTTAAATTAGCTCCATGAGAAAAGGCTATCTCCAATTTTAGGAATTAACAGTTATAAGGCTTTCACGGGAAATGTGGGGTTGTATTCAAGTTGACAGCAGTGTATACCTATGAATATAGTGTTCAAAAAGGCTCAATCAATCATTTCCGTTCAGCATCGTTATCGTATACAAAAACCATCTAACTAACCTGGAAGTACTGAATGTGATTTAAGTTGATTCCATTGATCTTTATATATAATTAGAATACTTCTATATATGTATAACAGGAGATTGGAATAAGTAATATGAGCTCTAGAGCCATATAATCGTTTCGAAAAACATTCTGATCAAATATTAAATATCGGCTACATTTAAGTACTACACGGTACTTCTATGTACATGCTTGACCCAAAACCCCGGCAGCTGAATTTCTATAACTCCTGGCTTCGTTATGGTTGAGGGAGCGAATAAAAGCAATAGCATGCAGTAGGCTTACGCATATGCACGGAATTACTTAGTTTGACCCAAAGGGTCTAGGTCATGACTCGATTTAGTGCACATCGGTCCTCCTCACTAGCCCTACTTGGGTCACAATATTTATAAAACTAGGGCCAGTAAGGCTTGCACTATAGCACATATCATCCTATTTGGACCAATATCATGATCACGATATTGAGGTTAGAGTAATACGGTATTCTGGCAACCACAAGAAGCGATTTTTCCAGGATAAGTTACTAATATAATATGGCATCAAAATCTGATATGGAATGTACAATACAACTTGCATTAACAAATAAAAAATTTAAATTTCGACTTGAACACCGCAACATCTGAAGACACCTTTGGCGCGCGGCAATCTACATGTAGCTAGCAAATTTGTTTTATGACAGTACCTTCCCTCCTGATAACTAAACAGGTTAGACAGAGCCTTTAAATCACATATGGTCAAGATGAGAACCCCGCTATTCAGCTATAAAACCTACTTCGGCCTAGTTATTATCGGTGGCGATTATCGGTACGCATAATCATAAACTATCACTCGCTATATGATGCTCCATCGATGATCGTCTCAACTGGGCAGAAGAGATGGGAAAACAGGAGGAGGGACGAAGGTAAGGAGGTAACGAGCGAGACACAAGCTGGTAGCAAATTCAGAAAAGAGGATAGTTGTGTCAAGAGTTAGCTCAACCACGCGTTATTCTATTGCGCACAAAAGACTCAAGGCAAAACTGCAAGAGCGTAATAGCTACTAGGCAACCAGTAGTTGCATCTTATTATTTCAAAGTAAAAGTTTGACTATCCAATCAGATTTGAAAGGGGTACATCACCATATGCGCACCTGGACCCGATTCAAGCTCCGATTTTGGTACATTACACACTAAATATACGCAGGACGCAGGTTACTAGCGTGAGGATAGGCACGAGAATGTTGTGCGGTCTCGCAAGTCTTGTGCCCACCCTCAGGTATGCGACACACCCATCCAATGACAGAGTCGGGAACAGCAAGCTGCCCGCACTGGGTGGGCACGAGACCAAGAGCCAGGCCACCCTACACCATCCGGAAAACCGTCTCCGCTCTACAAAATTCCCTCTAACAAGGTTCATCCAGTCTCATCTGAGGTCTTTTTCTTCATCGCACCCCTGCTTTGCGGTTTCTTCGTCTTCTCATCTGTGTGAGCTCGCTACTCCATAATGTCATGTCAACTCTCCACCTCCCTTCTCCTGCGCTGCGTGTATGGGGGCACAAGCCTTCCTGTGATACTTGATTGCGTTCCTTCTAGACCTCCTCTTCCCATTGAGTGCCCTTTTTCTTTCTTTTGGGTGGCTTTGAAATAGTTCTATAGGGCCGAAGGGTGGACTAGGTTGGATATGCACGCGAAATTAGGACCATTCCTAGAATCTGTGAATCTGCCTTTGGGGTGTGAACCTTCATCTGATACGTAACGATTGGATAATGATCAAGCAGCCTCTAATCAGGGGCAAAAATTTCAGCTTATGTTACTGGGTCAAGCTGTTCCTGTTTAGTCTCTCATAGTCTTTCTGTATTCCAAGCTGTGCATTGATAATGGACACAAGGCAAAATTTAGTTTTCCGCCTTAATTAAAGCGGAAGGTTCCCCATGTACTTATTGAGCTAATCAATCAATCAAAGCGGATGTTTCCCCTACTCAGGGAGCCTTAGCGAGTGATTTCTGGTGCAACAACCAGAAGACAAAACGAACCCCGACTTTTGGAATTAAAAATGAAAGATATAGTGTGGGTGAGCTGAAGTAACCGGATCTGGTGCCGGGATACTGGAGGAGATTATGATTACACAAGATCTTTGGTTGCTAGGTCGGCTGCTTCCACCACTCGTGGTACACCGCTTCACCAATACCGCAGCAAAGCCGTTGAAATGCGGAGAATCTCCTCGTATAGGTTTTTGGTCCGATAGTTCCTATTGAATTTTTCTATTTCATTTTATAAAGTTCTATTATCACATCCCATCACTCGGAATGCTCCGAACTCACCAACTCACCTCTCTCTGTCTATTTTTACGGAGCTGGAGCCAGTCACATGCACTCCCACTTGAAAGATTTCCATGAATAACAAAGGCGCTTAGACCCCATCCTTTATTGGTGAAACGGGGATCGCCGTTTTGCTCTAAATATACTGATGGACGAAGGCCAACCGGATCAGTTCGTAAATAGATGAGTTTATAGTCTTGAAAGCTTCCCAAGCTAGTGGATAGAGGCTTTCACCTCTTCACACGGACAGCTTACGAGAATTAAGCCACAAGAAGTACAGTGATCGAGACCGGTTACCGCGTAGATCCTTCCCCGCCTATAACAGCTGTTCTAGCGAAGAGAATGAACAAGTAAAGGGCGGAGATCGTATTCAAAGGCCTGTATAACTTCGTCACGATCAATGTAGCGAGTGATACCCCATGATTTCAGCTCACCCCATGCTTTAGTCCTACAGTCAATATCAACGCGTAGTGAAATTTTTAAACTTTCAAATATCAGGTCGAACAGGACTATTTGCCGTCGTGCGTGACCAGAGGATCTAATTCAGGTAAGAAGAGCTGGACATTCGAGAACTGTTCAGCTACTACCGGGGTCGGGTATGTACCTATACTTTCCGGTCCATAAATCTTTAAAGTGTGATCATAACATGATAGATAGTCGAACGTGCAATCGTCTGGTCTGTGGAACTGGGTGTGTGGTTAGGTTGGTGATACCTGGGCCGATAACGCAACTTGTGAGTACACCTGGAGGCGACTGAATCTATATATCGAGTTTCTTAGTCTCGACGGTCGTGTCACATTTTCGCAACGGCTCCATTGTTTTTTCTGGTTTCTTTTCCCCGTCATACGGGATAGCAGTCGACAATCAATCTGCAGAGGTTATGGTTTTCCCCGCAACCTCATTTCAATCGTTCACGCTATCAGTTGAGCAGGGATCTCCTGGAGGCAAAATGTAATTAGAGACAAGCACTAGAACGTTGAAGTTTCATTTCACCCAAATTCTGTCTCGCCCATCACCACTGTTCGCTGCACGTGTCATGTCGAGTAAATTAACTTTTCCTCTGTCTGCCGATGAGGTGGCACTGAATTGCGACTGGGAGCGAGAAGGGAAAATAAGATACATACCTCTCTCAGCACTTTGCCTATTTTTTTCACCTGTAAAGTATCTATCCGGTGCATAGTGCCCTAGCCCTACAAGGAGATGGATACATACATGTATACATTGGACCTACAGTTATATCCATGTTCCTTTCCTTCATCCTCTCGAGTAGGTACATACATCGGCGGTGGTGGTTGTAGTTGTGGTTGTGGTTGTTGTGCGTTTGGAACTATCAGCAGGTTTGGGTGGCCCCCGAGAATGTAGTCCAGAGATGATTCGCCAGACGGTACGTACCCCGGATTCCGCACCTTGATCGCTTCGCTTGGTACCGAGGGATGGCTGGATGACTGGATGATGATGGATGGGTGGAAAGGGGAAAAGGCGGAGCCTCATGATTTAACGTCATTGGACCCTGGATTGTTTCTTGTGGGTGGTTGTGAAACGGAGGTGGCTCGGCCTTTGAACCGCGCGTGAAAAGGAAGAGAGGAAGAGGAAGAAGGAGTGGAATGGAGAGTACCGGCGCTTTTAGCGGTTTCTTTCTTTATCACAGGTAAGCGTAAGATGTATGAATGTATAGGTGCCTACAAATACTTCATACGTACACGTACATCTTGTACCTTCACTGGGCATTGAGGGTTACATACATGTACCTACATTGTTGCTTCCTCTTATCGTGAAGGCAACGGTCTAATGATCGGACTTTGTTTATTCATGTAGCGTTTATCCCACGGGCATTGTGCGAGTGTGAGTACTCTAGAAGCTGGTTGTATTACCTTGTACCAGCTGCACGGTAGAAACATACTTTTCAGTTTAATAGGAACATCATGTTACATACTTACTGTATTCGAAAGAAGAATAATATAACCCCGGGGATGATCATACGGTGCTGCGACGATTACTCCCTGAGAGAGAGCTTCCTCGGCGCGGGAGACTGCGTGTCTGTACAATCTAGACAATCATACCATCGAAATTGGAATTTCATTCATACTGTATATGTAGAGGAGTGTGTGTGTGGGTGGTGGTGTGTGTCTGCCTGCCTGCACTTTAGGTGTCGGTAAATATTACTTCTGGTTACTTGCTTTTTTGGCAGCTGCACGGAATAATCAATTCTCTACTATTCTATGTACATGCTCTGGAGTACTCTACACGGTACATGTTCCCTCGGGCTCACTATTGTTACACCTTCGTCATTGTCGAGATCGATATGCACACCGGTAGGTAAATAGAGGCTGAATCATATCACGGTGAGCCGTTGTTTATGTCGCCTGTCCAACACGGACATATCTCGGATGGGGCCAAAAGAAAAGACTTGCTTACATTCGGCAAACTGGTTCTAAAGAAATACGGTGGGGGGAGGGAGTGTCAGAGATGGGCTAACGCTATCTGGTGGCGGTTGCGACAAATTTGGCAACTGGCAGTGCCCGAACCAGTGGCTAAAGAAGCAACGAAGATGTGTGCTGTTCGATAAGAACATTTACCAGCCACTTTGAAACATCTTATGGGAGAAGCGAGAGACAGACAGACAGACAGACTGGACATAGGGATTGTGTGTGTGTTCTCTGCCTACATGTGTGTGTATGCAGATACCAACCACCATCCGTAGGGCAGAGACACAATATATATATGTGTATCAGCATCTTCCCTCTTGACCACCATAACCACAAGTGAATGCAGGTGCCCTGAGTACATAGAGTACTGTACTTAGCTTTCTTTCTACAATTGAGTATTCCTCTGTTTATTCCATCGAGGTTGACACACTATTTCCATCAATCTTCACCGCGCAATTTCCCTCCAATCAACCTGTGGTCGACGCTCTCGGTAGCAACAAGGTAGGAGAGCAACCCCGGTGTCCAAGCGTACTTTACTTCACCACCTCAACATCACCTCCCCCATCTCCTTTCCTCCCATCACTCCAGAAACAATAACAGCCACAAGTCAGCCCAGTCCAGCTAACAACAACAAAAAGCTCAACTCCATCGTCATCCAACCTTTTCTTGCGCCGTTGCCGATTGACAGCCGAACGATCACCACCCCCCCACGCAAAGGATCTAATAGAGGGTAACTAGAAAAAAAAAGCCGCATTTCTAGCAATCTCTCAGAGGCACCCCCCCTCACACCCTTTGCAAACCCCTTTTACCGTCGGTCTCCTCTTTCTTTCATCGCAGCGCCCTAGAAATTACCAACGATTCTATTGCACAACGATCACCGACCTCACTCCTATACCCGCCTGCCCGCCCGCTTTCACGTGGTATCCCACCCCCGCAGGAAGATAGATAGTACGGTTGTCCAGTGTTATTAGCTTTAGAATTACTGTAAGTATCTGGTGCGTGTGTTCATACGTTTCCCTGTGTATCTTCGACTACACCTACTTAGCTTCCTTCTTTTGCTATATTGGTGCCCGCCTAGTACTATTGACGGCTCGCCTCCGTCACTCTGCTACCTCCTATCCCCCATTCTATCGATTACCCGGAGAACCTGCGTTTCATTATTCGCTTGCTTGCCTGCACTCACATAGCTCCTTCTTCCGTACTTGTTTTCTCTTTCTTGTGAACACTCACACAATCTACCCTCCCAGTACCCATACTTTGGACCTCCACGCGCATCTCATCACGTCCCACGAAATAATCCAAAAGATCGCGAGCTACTCATTGTTCTTTGACAGACCCCTGCGTAACTTTTAATGTCTCTACCCTCGTCCACTCCACACTCCCGCTTCCCAACAGCCCACTTTTTTGTTTCATCATCCACTCGTCGTTATCACCACCTAGCCCCCTTCATATCTCTATGCTTCATCTGGGCTTCTTTGGCCTCTTCAGAAGGAAAACTTTTATTGACCCGTACTACGTGATCATTACAGACAAGTCGAGGATCCATAAGCTTTCGAAGGAATCCCACGAGAATTTCCAGTAAATCAAGACCACTAGAAAATTGGCGCCAAGTGGGAAAGAAAATAAAATGGTTGTTGCCACTATCAAGTAGGTTTTCCCGCCAGTAAATCGTCGTTTACTCCTAATTTGAAGATGGCTTGGAGCTGTGATTGGTGGTTGGTCCCAGTTTCGAGCTTGGTGACCCTCAAGTGATATCAACAAAGATGAACAATTGATGGGGGTCACAGCTCGCGGATGACCCATTCGTTGCTACTACAACTGCTGTTGTCACTAGTGCTACTGCTACTGCTGGTGGTGCCCTGAGCGGGTTGATAATAAAATAGGTGCTTACCATTCCGGTCTATAAATATTAGATGTGTTGTCGTCGGTGACGGTGCCGTCGGAAAAACCTGTCTCTTAATCTCCTACACGACCAACAAATTCCCCAGCGAATACGTCCCAACCGTTTTCGACAACTATGCTGTTACCGTTATGTAAGTTCTACTCTTCTCTTTTTTCTCTTCTTTCATTGTTTGGGGCGGCTTGAGGATGGAAACATGCCATAAATTGCCATTTGTTGAGCTGTGGAGGGGATTGTGGTGTGTGTTTTCTGCGCGCGGAATATTGGAGAGCTATTTGGAGTGGAATCTATTCCAAGGGACTTTTACCTCCTGGCCACGCGCAAGAGGAGGGTAAATGGCATCATCTTTGGGAGCCGAAGAGTCAACTCACAATGAACTTTCACACCACCTTGACGAGCTTTGGACCAACACAAAATTCTCCAACCATTGACCGCGACAACTTACTTCTCCATTCGATTGCGGTCTCTCTTTTTTGTGTGACGTTGTATTTTAGATGACGCAGTGCAATATGTGCTAATATTCCTTTTCTGAATAGGATCGGAGATGAGCCATATACCCTCGGACTCTTCGATACCGCTGGGCAAGAGGATTACGATCGCCTACGGCCCTTGAGTTACCCGCAAACCGATGTTTTCTTGATTTGCTTCAGCGTCAACTCTCCCCCGTCCTTCGAGAACGTCAAGGAGAAGTGGCTCCCGGAGGTCAGACACCATTGCCCGGGGGTTCCTTGCTTGATTGTTGGTAAGCTTATAAACCACCGATCATCCGATTTCTGTGCTTGTCATTTACTCATTAACGAATTATTATTACAACAGGCACCCAGGTCGATCTTCGCGATGATCCCGGTGTGATTGAGAAGCTCGCGAAACAACGGCAGGCACCCATCAGCTACAAGCAGGGTGAACAGCTTGCAAAGGATCTATCCGCCGTCAAGTATGATACTCCCACCCCTCCAACCAAGTATGCGATATTCTATTTGTCGGCCTAAATTCTTTTACTACATCGACTCTTTCCGGGTTTCGCTCAAAAATGGTGAAAGTCTCGTTTGATGCTGACAACGTTTTAGGTACGTTGAGTGTTCTGCTTTGACCCAGAAGGGTCTTAAGAACGTATTCGACGAGGTATGCTTGCCTTTATCTCCCTTTCTTTCGCCAAGAGGGTTAACTAACGCAATAATAGGCGATTGTCGCTGCTTTGGAGCCACCTCCACAGAAAAAGCCAAAGAAGTGTGTCTTGCTTTAGAGGTATGTCTTGCAAACGCTTCCTGCATCCCCGGATTCTGACTAATTACTAGACCAGGATGTAAAAACATCTAATCGTCGATTTTTCTCAACGTCAATCACAAAAAATCATCGAAATCTTTAGTTTCACCTTCTCGTCAATATCCGTCCCCCACTTCACCTTCACATAGCCGCCACTATCAAACCAGCTTCGATTAGATCACCACATCGATATTACATTAGCATGGACCAGCTTTTGTGCGCCCCAATTATTGGACTGGTTAACTTGGGTTGGTGATTGAGAATGGGTGGTTAGTTCTAACTTTGGTGGTGCTTATTAACACTATCAATTTTACTCCTTTTTTCATGTTTTACATATCGTGGGTGGGTGTTTTATCTTTTTTTTTCTGTTTCTTTTTCTGGTACGGCCCGTATTTCTTTCACACGGATAGTTTTAAGTTCTTTTTTCTTTCCATCTTTTCTTTTTTATCTTTCTCGACAAGTATTCCCATTTTCTCATGAGTTTGTGTCTCACTCTTATTGCGGTTGTATGGCCTTCTGCGTTTTTGAAAGCGGAGTTCTCTTCCTGTTTTTGATTGAGAAAGGCGATCTTGTCATCTACGTATGTGTAGGATTGGCGTAAACCTCATGGTGAGAAACCGGGAAAGCAGGGTGGGGTTACGTATGACTTGATGCTGCTCACGATGAAGTTGTGTTTTTTCTGATGTCCCTTTTTTTTCTTCTCTTTTTTATTTTTCGCACTGTCGATTTTTTTTGTTATAGTAGAGACTGGCGGGCGGGTGGGACTCGGGGAGGAATATGAGGACTAAGATTTTTGTGTTTTCTTTTTCACTTGGATGTATACCTTCAATCTTTTTCAGGTGTTGTGTATGTGTGTTTATTTTTTCAGCCAGCTAGTTCCGCAAGGGGCGTTGCGTTTTTTTTTTTTTTTTTATTTCTTTTATTTAGATGATTGGTTTTTCTGTTAGCTACTGTGTACTATCGATGTCTACCAGCTTAGTTTCTTCCTTCCCACCTTCTGTTCTTGAAGTGGGAGAAGGAAATGAAAATTTTCAAGGTAGAAGCTGTGGTATTTGGTTGTGTCTATGTAGTTAGTTGAGACTTTAAATTGATGAGGTCGAGTGTCTGCAGGTGGTGTGCAATTATATAATTTGAGGAATCTCTAGGCCTTGAGTTGCAGCTGCTTGTGTAGCTTGTAAGCAAACTGGCAAATGATAGCTAGGAGAGAATTGTACTGGTCTCTTGGTAACTGGTTGGAACTGTATTGTACAGATATTTAGTCCACTGTCCACTCAGGTCCTGTTTGTATAGGGAAGCAACGGCCAGTCAAGGAAATATGTCCAATTGCACAACAGGAGCTATTAAGTACAAGCTGTTTCAGGGTTGGACCAAGTAAAGCTTTCTAACTGGATGCGTGATCATTGGCCTGCCATAGTCAGCGGACAAAACATACACAGGGAAAGGACCTGATACAATTCCCATGAGCCTAGGGGAGAAGCTTCAAAGAACCCCACCTCCATACCGCCTGTGCACGATGAAAGGTAGTTGGCCTCTTAACAAAATGCGGCCGGCGAATGAGGGCGTGGGATGGACGCGAGATCTCGGTTGAATCGAGGCAGCTCGGGTCTCGAGCTCGAGTATCTGCCGGTTCGCCTTCGTGGTTTCATTGCGAGAGATTTAGCAATTGAGGCAGCAAGTAGGTAGGTTCGATCGGGACTATTTATGGCCATGAGTCGTGGGCTTTTTCAGTTTTCTATTAACGTTGTCATCATCGTGAGCTATGGACACCAAAGGAAGGTCAATGATCGTAGCACTTCTCCGTATACTCTGCTCCTAAATTTGAGGTCTTTCGCACCGAGGATTTGCCGTGCCGGTCGTCGCGCGAGAGTAGGCTCCAGAAATATTGGAGGGTAGGGGTATTGAATGAGAAGAAGAATGGACGGTAATAGTATTTTGTTAAGCCTGGCTGCTAGCTGGTCCCACGGTTCTATGTAGCTAGTAAGCTCGGTCGACTTTGTAGTGCTTGTTATGTGCATGTAGATATTTTCTATTGCTGCTGTGATTTTATCGGTGGTGAATTGTATGTGCTAGAGACTAATTAATGTGATGATCCACCCGTAGGTTAATTCTCCGTTGTATTATGTTTCTGTAAGAGTTGTTACATTAGCGGTCATGAACCATAGGCGCTAAAGACCAATAATCACACTCAACCGTAGGTTCTCGCCGTCCTGGGCATCTTCCAGTACATCCTCATCTTCATCTTCACCCTCCCCCTGGTGAAGTGTATATTATCAAGAGTAGGATCTGATAACTGGCAAGACGTGATTTATTGCAAAGGTCAACTATTTAAACTAATCCACAATAAAGACAGGTATCGTCCAACTACTTGGATGGACACATATATGCCCGCTCCCTCAAATCACCAGGTATCCGCTCAGACTGCCGTTGGTGTCCTTTATCGATAGTATTTAGGGCTGTGGTTGTGGTTAGGAGATAAAACTAGGGAGCGTACGTATTTACCATTATCGTGAATAGTCAAGCCCGGTTGCTGGTGCTTCCTATGAGATGTGCGAGTGTAATAAGACTGTGTCTCGATCTCGACTTTTGGGCTCGTGAGAAAGGCCTCCTTCCCGTGGAGCAAGAGAGCATGAGGATATCCGTTAAAGTGTTTGTGTTAGCGCTCGCGAGCTACGAAAACTACATGTACTAGGGTGAATAAGCAATGTAACTTCTGGCCAAGAGCGAGTAAGAATAATGAGCAGCTTCGTCAAAGTATACGAGGCTGGAGTGAGCCAAAGCGGTGCTCTTCTCTGGTGAGGTTTCCTTAATGGTGATGAACCAAAGGAGCACTGAAGACAAATAAATGGTGATTTTTATTGTAGTTTTTTGCCTTTGGGACATAATTCTTGTATAGAACGCTGCGTAATTAAAAAAAAAATACTAGAAAGGGAGAGGACACAACTCCGGGCATGGGGACCGACTGCCGGCGTCGAGTGCTCTGGGACAGAGGCCCGAGCAAGACCACGGGAACCGAGCACTTACCCGTAATGTGAGCGTGAGCTGTGGAGATTTTTTAACTGCAGTGTTATTAGAGACCGACTATTATAATATCCGCCTCCTCGATGATTATCGTACAGCAAACGACGGAGCGCAGAAAGAACACATCTTGATCAACTAGCTGCTGGTTTCAATGGGGCAGGGGCTAGAGCTGAACTTATGGGGTGGTATCAAGTCTTTTCAGGCTGTGATATTAGTAGGGGGTGGGTACTGGAGATTAATGGTTAGTCTTCTCCATAGCTTTCACCTCTTCCGCTGAAAGCCTTCACTCCCTAACCATCGCGTGAACTACTACGATCTCCCCAGAACAGGTTCGGGATGAATTCCAGCGCAGAAAAGGGGAAATTCACCGCCAAAATACCATACTCTAACCACTCTGCCATTCTTCCTGGCCCAAAATTGGACCCAGTCGCACTCACTAGAAAATCAGCAGCAACTTTTCCAATCATAGTTAATCACTCGGCCTACTTGGCGCGCCAGCTGGCCCGGATATCAGCCAGCTAGGCATAAGCGGTGGACGAAGACGTGGGGTTGCGATGAAGGCTGGTAGGTGGTGTTGTGGGTTTTGTGTAGTGGCCGTCTTTTGGGATTGTGGGGCACAAGAGTAGGGTCGGAATTCGAATAGGAAGAGATCATGGGTGGGGAAAATATAAAGAGAGGAGGGTTTAGAGGCGTTTGTACGGGCAGTCTTGTGGTGGCGGTACGTGGCCATACGCGTGGAAAAGATGGAAGAGGAGGAGGTGTTGGTGGTGATATGTTTTTCCGGGATTTGGAGGAGGGGGATCGATTGAAGAAGATCTAGACTCGAGGGTGGAGCCGGCAAAAGGTCATTGGCCCGTACGGTAAGAATTCTCCGTGAATAGAGAGAGAGACGCAGAAACTATGTAGATAGCTCAGGCTTGAAAGATGTTGTAAAATGGAGGAGGGGGTACGCAGAAATGAACAGAAGGTGAAGGGCTATTCCCGCGTGCGCGTTGTTCTGCTGCGCGTGGAGTCCGCGCACGGTGGGGATCGACCATGTCGAGTGATATTCTATGATTTAAACTCTCGTCCGTACGACTCACACAGCAAAGATGGATATCTTTCTTATTTGCGATACGTGTTCTTTGTCCATCTTACACAGACATGGCGCTGATCCTTCCTCTCTTCTTTGATTCATCTAGATCTCTGTATGCATAACCTTCTCTGCACAACCTCTCCCACTTTTAATTGACAAGAGCTAATAACTAACTACATCTGCTTGCGCACCCAGTACTTCTACGCAGGGGTGATGTCTAACGAATACCCGCTGGTAGCCTCCGTGATCGTCAGCGGGATCGTAAAGGCACCACCCGTCACGGTATACACAGTGTCCGAGACAGTCACAATCTGCGCTTCCGTGACCTGCGCCCTGAAGCTCACCCACGGATACTTCTTTACCACGACTCTCGCCCGACCACGCGAAAACGCCCCCGCGGGCAATCCATTTACCTGAATATCATAGGTCCCAGTCACCGCATTCGTCCCCGCAATCACCGAAGCCTTCCTCTTACTCGCATCCCACGTCGCAAACACATCAAAATAGTCATCAACCGACCGCTCGCTCGCAACACGAACACCCGTCTGGGACTGCTTGTAGTACTTGTACAGATGCCACTCACCCGTCGGCCAGTATCCACCGGACGAGTTGCTGTAGGTGCCGCCGTTGGTATCGTCTGGCTTCCCAACGAGCGACGCCATGTAGTCGTGGAGTGCGCCGCCGGCGGCCCAGTTTGCGCGCAGCCCGTAGACGTCACGGCGCTCGAAGGTGGAGATGACCCATGCGGAGTAACCGGGGTTTTGGTCCTCGGGAGGTGCGCTGGAGGGCTAATATTTAGCTGTGTTCAAGTGGGAGCGCGGGTATATGGGGGTGGACTTACTATTCATTGATACTCAGCGGTGATCCTGTCGGGAGCCCGTACTGAGTGAGTAGCCCGTTCATCTGCGCAATGCTCCACTCTGGATCATTTCCGATTCCCCCAGCCTGGAACAAGCAATGGTATCTACCCCCCATACATCAGTGTCCCTTCTATGTCTCTGCCACCACACAGGAAGAATAACTTACGACCAGTACTCCGGCACGGACCCGTTCGTCTTGACATACTGGAAAAAGTCCGGCCACCACCCGGCATTCGACATCTCCGTCGCAAACGCCGGCCCGCCAATGATGACACTCGCCGGTAGAAGCGGGCGCAGACGGTGGTATGCCCACCCCCACGCCTTTAGCCACTGCTCCTTCGACCGGTTAAGCCAGAAGGCCGAGTAGTCGGCCTCATTCCAAAGCTCGACAATGAGGCCCTGCGTCATGCCTAGACTGTTGATATCGGCGGCGACACGCAAGAGGAAGGCATCGTAGGAGCTCCAGTCGTCGTTGTCGCCGGGAAGAGGGTCGGAGGCAACTAAGAGGCCATCTGCGCAGGTGTAAATACATGTTAGACGCTGTGAAGCTGCTTTCTGTCAAGATAAAGGGGGGGGGGGGGGGGGGAGCTTACCGCCGCCCCAAAGGCCCGAGTTGAGCATGAAGAAGTTTCCGCCGAGCTCTCGGAGCTTCAGGTAGTTTGAGTGGACAGACTTAATACGAGCCTGCAATGACAAATATATCAGCGCCCGTCGTTCAACCAGATCCAGGGACAATGCTCAGTAGCTAGTACATACGACATAGTCTGCCTCGCCGCCGACCCACCCCTTCCCGGGGACCTGCGACCCCCCACCGCGGCCATGGTTGATGCCAATGTCGGTGAAGAAGTGCTTCGGGATCTGCCAGGCGTCGGTGTCGGGGATGCCGTAGAGGATGCCGCTGCCGTACTGCTTCGGAGCACCGCGGGTCGTGCTGAAGTCGATTGTGGCTGTACATGGAGGGTTAGTATGATTGCATTGAGGTCTGGAAGAAGAATAGAAGGTGCGTACCAATCTTGTTGGCGTCTCGTTTGGACACAGCTGCGGCGTTTGAGAACACAGCGAGGCCGAGGAGGGAGAGATGTTTGAACAACATGGTGGCGGAAGACGAGGAGCTCTGGCTATCTGCAGACAGGAGAATTAAGAGTTTGAGATGGAGATTAGGAGCTTTATAGGCCTCCCGACGAGCTCATAGCCCAGCCCAGCTAGTAGTGGTACTAGTATTCTGGGGTCATCTCGCCCGGAGAAGAAAAAATACTAGGCTACGGAAGCTAGCTGGATAGCTTGGAGTCGCGATTTAGCCCTCAAGATGTGCCAATACTGGCTTTTGGCTATTATCAGATGATGGGATATTACTTCCTTGCTCTGCTCTGTGGGGAAACCTTCATGTAGCTTAGGTTGGAGTACTCGGGAGCCGGCCGGGGGGCGGAGAAATCCCGAGGGTTGATGTTTGGCTGGGTTGGATGGAAAATGTGGTAGATTGATCATTGTGGTTGCGGTTGTGGTTGTGGGTAGTAATTGTAATTAATTGCAATGGATGAATGTGGTTAGACATGCGCAATATGGGCTATGGACTACTATTTGGACTTGTTGGATTCACTGGAACTCCCGTGGGATATTTTTTTTCTTTGGAGGTAATAGAGAGACGCTCGTTGTTTCTCGTTATTTTATTTATGAGACATGTAATTGAATACGGCTTTGGTTCATTACTTGATTGCATATTATGAAGAACATGTATTATTAAAACTCTACTCTCGACATACACCTATATTTACTATTAGTCGCAACATCTCTTTCACCGCTATTCCCATACCATACTACACCACAACTCCAAAACCTACCTAGTGCAGTAATAATACCAAGCTTCCACAAAGCGAGCGCTCCCGGGAACATCCCGGGCTGATCCCGCACACGGAACAATGCAGGCCGGTTGCGCCACGCCATGGAGCATGTACCGGCCTTAGCTTACCTGGTTAAGTTTCTTTCTGAGAGTTCGGGATATGATATGATATTATGATGCGTTATATGTCAGGGGCCCATGAGCTAGCGATGAGCTGATGGTCTAGATGGCGGTGGGTTTCCCCGCAATATTATGTGGGGTAGGTATATTAGGCATCTTTTTTTTTTGTTTACTTACCAGTAGCTTTAATTTGGGATTGAGTGTGAAGGGAAGTAGGGGTGCCGGATCTTCGTTGGCTATGGATGGCTATAGCCCGGTGTCGGGCATAACTCGGTGGGGGAGGGATAGGTAGGTTAAGCATTTCTGTAGTTAATTTAGGCTAATGTGGTTGTTCATCTCGAGATGGGATGTCGATGTAGATATCATTACCCCACTACGAACGCAGATGGACGGTTGCTGGTGAATATTAGCCTGTGTGGAGAATGCCGACGGGCTGGGATTGGGATTGGGGTTGGGGATTTGATTTGGGTTATTGGTATGTATGGGGATAGGTTACGGTAATGATTGCAGATGGGAATATCAGTTTGTGTTGACCAGATAGATAGCTGCGCTGGTACATGGTGTTTGTTTGATTTGTGATTGAGGAGCTGTTTATGAATATATCTGCTCCTGCGCAGCTGCGTCTATTCTTGCCATCCCCATTGACTGAGTATTCAATACCATCCAAACTACTCATAAGATAAAATATACGAGATAAAAACCAACTACTATACCCCCTTCCACCGCAAACCCCCCTCCACCGCAAACCTCCCTCCCCCCGCACCCACCGGTCGCCCGCCGCCAAAGCACCCGCCCACCCGCCAGCCTCACAATGTCCTACCCGCAAACCACCTTCCACCACACCACCTTCACCCCACACAGCTTCCTCTCCCGCCTCCGCCACACCCTCCCCACGACCCTCCGCACGCAACTTTCGCTCCTCCACCACACCGGCCGCTACGACGCCTTCCGGCTGCAGCCGCACCCCAGCTACGCGGACCCGCCCACGCACTGGCCCGTGCCCAACCACCTCTTCTGGGACTCGGACCTCGCGAAGTGGATTGAGGGCGCATGCTACCTTCTGAGCGAGTGCCCGGAGGAGGCAGGGGAGTTAAAGGATATCGATGAGGCGGTGAAGGAGCTGGTGGACATGATCCGCGGCGCGCAGCAGGATGACGGGTATTTGAATATCCACTTCACGGTGGTTGATAAGGGTGGAAGGTTCACGAACTTGAGGGACCTGCATGAGCTGTAAGTTTCCTTAGCTAGATACCAATGATCAAACAACCAGAAAACTAACCACGGCAACAGTTACAACGCTGGCCACCTGATAGAAGCCGCACTAATCCACCACCACCACTACAAAAACACACTCCTCCTCGAACCCATCCTAAAATACGTCGACCTTCTCTACAACACCTTCGGCCCAGGCCCCTCGCAGCTCCACGGCTACCCCGGACACCCTGAGATCGAGCTAGCGCTGCTCCGCCTCTACGCGCTCACTGGCGACCAGCGCCACCACGACCTTGCCCGCTACTTCATCACCGAGCGCGGCCGCAACGGTGGGCAGTTCTATACCGAGGAGGCCGCAAGGCGCGGGGACCGCGAGAATGAAGTCCCGCGGTACTATCCGGAGAAGAAGAGCTATTGGTATGTGCTGTCAATGATCGCCGCGACGTGTTTTTGAGCTGGTATGACTAAAGAGGGATGCGGGTGTAGGTATCAGCAGGCGCACAAGCCGATTCTGGAGCAACAGACCATCAAGGGTCATGCGGTGAGGGCAATGTATTTGCTCACTGCGGTTGCGGACCTGGTGCGGCAGGACGGGTCCGGGTCGGAGGAGTATTTGGTTGCTGTGAAACGGCTGTGGGCGGATATGGTGGGGAAGAAGATGTATGAGACCGGTGGCATTGGGGCCGTGCGGCAGTGGGAAGGGTTTGGGGATGCGTATTTCTTGCCGCAGGCGACGGATGAGGGCGGGTGTTATGCGGAGACGTGTGCGAGTATTGGGATTATGATGTTGGCGGAGAGGCTTTTGAAGGTCAGTTAAGTTCTTTTATGCTTGTTCATGGGCTCATGAGAGGGGGGTGCTAACGGAGAGTAGGTGGACCTCAACGCAGAATACGCAGACACCATGGAGCTCGCGTTCTATAACACAGTGCTCACTAGTATGTCTGTCGATGGCAAGTCCTTCACATACCTCAACCAGCTCGCCTCCTCTCCGCAGGACCTCTCCAAGCGCGAGGAATGGTTCGAGTGTGCCTGCTGTCCCCCGAACATCGCTCGGACACTCGGAATGATGGGAGGCTACATCTGGTCCTGGGAGGAAACCTCATCGGGCGTGGACCTGGTGGTACATCTGTACACTGCCGCAACGCTGACTATGAAGATGAGTACTGGTGCCGTGGTGACAGTGCAGATGACGACCGACTGGCCATGGGATGGAAAGGTGTCCTTTGCAGTGACCAAGACATCGCTGGAGTTGACACTGAATATGAAGCTCCGAATTCCTAAGTGGGCTGAAGATAAATGGACAGTGTCGTCAGGGAGTAGCAGCAGTATACCTGAAGCAGTCAACGGATACATCTCGATACCAGAGCCGTACTCAAGCTCGGGAATAACGCTGGATGTGCCGATGATACCGCGGGTGATAAGGGCACACCCATTCACTAACCGTGAGACTGCGTGTATTGCCAGAGGCCCCATCGTCTACTGTGTCGAAGACGTAGATAACAGCTGGGTGACCGATCATTTCAAGGTCTACACCGTATCTCACATCGTCATGGACTAGACTGACATAACATAGACAACACACATCGACCTGGAAGCACCCTTCCAAGAGGAGCTCGTCACAGACCCAAAGACAAACGAGACCTATGTCCAGATCAGCATGCCCTCCGGCGGGCAGGTCTATGATATCGAGAAGTATCCTTCATACTATACTTCGTATGTTGCGCGGGACTTGGTATTCACCCCGTTTTATTTCAGAGCGAACAGAGGCGGAAAGGGACATATGAGGGTGGGCTTGAAGGTACCCCCATATCCAACTGGCCGTATATCTGCGTAGGAAACTTTAATATATCAAGAAAGGAAGGGTCCGAGGAGAAGCCCTGGTTTGAAGCAGAGCAGAGTCCGAATAGTATATCAAGATTTGTCTCCGGTATCTCAAAGGAATTAGATTTTCTGGGTTTCTCAAGGCGGGGTTTTCTTTTCTCAGATGTACATAGCTGCTTGTGTGTGATGATCAGGAAGTGAGAATATTATCATTGGCCCTTGATAGCGGATCAAATCTTGGCGTGCGCAGCAGTCCTGGAAATACTCATTGTGGGAAGTAACAGTACCGTGACATATTATACACACTGTTTAGTGTACTTATGGGTACTGATCCCCATGAGAATGTTCGTAAACACCCCCATAATGTAAACTGACCACCACACGGCATCTACAAACCGGCCCCAAACCTAACATCACCGCACTCGGTCGGTCTTTACCCGAAGCTTTTATCCCCGCATTTCAGTCTCGCTAACGGCTAAGCGAAAGTTGGGGCCCCCACCGGGGACGCCGAGCAGGGGGTGTCTGTCGGTGTGGATATATGCCGATAGTAATATACTAGATACTTTTGTAAGGCTTAGTTTGAGACTGTGCGTATCTTTGTCAACGTTTCTCGGGTAGTGCAATGCTAATGTGTTATTGATTGCTATATGCTTTATTAGATCTATTGAGCACTTACGCGGGTCAGTAGAGCAAGTTGGTACTCTACTTATCCCACTTACTTAGGTTATCATGAGTAGTAATACTAGTAGTAATATTCTTGGGCGTGTACTCAACTGAGTACACACAATACAAGCATTGAAACCATAGGGAACCGCAGTCCAATCATACCACACATACTCATCTACAGCTAGCGCTCAATAATCATTAATTTTCAACGTCAAATTCCGGGGAAACTCGCATACACAGACCCCATCTGCCTACATACCTGCCCGTATCCCCATGCCTCTTCTCCACATGATTCACCCCTCACAATCGTCTTCCATTCACCCCAGATCTCACGGCTAAATCGCAAAGAGGTGATGATTTTCCGTGGTCAAACTCCCGACCCATGTCATCCATATATGCTCTGAAGGTAGAGCTCTGTAAACCAGGTATATACGTGT